GCAGGCTTGGGAGACGCCACGACCAGTCGCTCTAATGGGAAAAGGATGTGAGTCGAGAACCAATTTCCAGGTTGGCAATCAGATCCACAGTAGCCTTTTGGAATGATACATACCTGAATCTTCAAAGTGCCCAATGTCACCCAGCTGGCAATGAACGCGCCAGAGTGATAAGAAGCACCACTAAGCGTGACAAGAACGGCACGGTCTTGCGGATGTGCGATTTCTGCGATCAAGAGCGGGGCGCTCCCGAGAACGAGACAGTCACCAAATCCAATAAGGAGACGGGCAGCGATGAACATGCCAAAGCCAGTGGCGCCAGACTGCAGACCCACTGCAAGCAGCATGATGAGGCATCCAACGAAACACCCGAGCCTACGGCCCCAGGTATCGATCATGTAAGGCACGATGAACAGACCAATCAGTGAGCCAAGACTCATGGAGGCATTAAAAAGGCCGAGAAGCGAGCCGTGAGGGTGATTGAAGTATTCCTGCCAGTAGGAAAGGGTTTGGAGACCGTTCATCATGGAGCCATCGAAACCGTTCGCTGTGTTGGTCATGATGAGGATGACGATGAAGATGTACAGGGTACGCATATTCTTCCTCTTCCACCACGGCGCGCGTTGGAACTCCTGGTGAGCGAACAAGAAATGTCCCTTCTTGGGCTTAACCGGCATGACCCTTTGGGTCGGCTTCGGGGGCCGGAATCGCAGCGCCATGATTGAGAAGCGTGGACTGGATGTAGATGTAGATGAGAAAGTAAAATAGGTGTAGCAAGTTGAGGAATCTACCTCGACTGTGGTCGGGGATGGAAGGAGTTTTTAATTAGGAAGGCCCTCTTTATAAATTGAGACAGACGTGAACTTGACACGCCCAGACCCTCGTACAGATGTGGCTTGATCGACCCCCGGTTGTATTGTCCCTAACAGGGCTTTTCACGACATGTTGTCACCCATTCCGTGTTGAAAATAGATGAGCTGGGCATGTTATATTTGCCTGTTCTGCATTTTACCGAGAGGTGGCGTTGTCCTCGACTGCTCGTATCCCTGAAGCGCGATCGCTTGGGCTCATCACCCTGCATAGAGGCTATAGTCGAGGCCCCGTGAGGTGGGATACTTGGCGCCAGTGGTAGGCACTTGCAGGGGGCCGACGGGGGGTGACTAGTCTGACTATGCCTTAGTCAGCTAGTTATTTGACAAGGGGATGATTAGCTCAACGTTAGTTAACTGTAGGTCGAAACCAACACTAATAAAGCCGGCAAGTGGACGGTTCAGCATTAGCCGCTTTGAGGGCTTGAATTTGAGACTGTTTACTGATTACCTCACCCACTCTATCCAGAATGCCTTCGCCAAAGACGAAAGTTCCAATCTCGAGCACTTTTATAGTTTAGCTTGCTGAAAAGGCAAAGAAGCCTCATGGGTGTCAAGTCGCGGGCATGTCGATCTAGCATTCAGGCACAGCATGTAGTAAAATTCTTAAAGCTTTGTGAGAAACCGAGAAACGATTCTCACGGGCGGAGAAAGAAGTCCAGAATCCTCCTCTCTTACTACTGCTGGATGTACTATACCTTTCGGAGCAATTGTGGAATTGTGGGGAGACCCTCCTCCAGCATCCTTGCCTCCAATTTAGCCTATCCAGCGTGCTCGACACCCATGCTTGGCGGCCTATCAACAGCCTAATTTGCCCCCTCATCCATCTGCATCATCACTTTACAGCACAGCTCAACCCGGATGGAGAACCAAATTTGGAAGCATCAGGTACCATCGTGTATTACCCGGCACCCACGGGACTCGCCCGAATCTCCCGGAACTTGCCTAAACTTCAATTGAACCCCTCTCCTGCAACGATGGAGGATATTTAAATGTTTTACCGAAGGCTGGGTGAATAGATAGTTGCTGTGGGCGTTCCAATCTCAGTTTTCTCTAGTTAGCTTTCCTTCTTGCTCATAGCGCGAGCCATTCATGTCGGATACAGTCAACCCCATTATACCAGGTTTCGCGCCAGATCCATCCGTGGTAAAGGTGGGCGACTGGTTTTATATCATCAACTCCAGTTTCCACGTTTTCCCCGGTCTACCTATCTACGCCTCTCGAGATCTGGTATCATGGCAGCAGATCGGTAAGTCCTCCGGCCGCTTAGTGGATGGGGACACAATTCAAGCCTCCGCTAACGTGCGATCGCACAGGAAATGCAATCAACCGTCAGTCCCAGCTCAGCCTCGCAAAGTCGCAGGCGAATCTATACCCGGTGGATGATGGCAAGTTTCTGGTCGGGAGTGGTGGCCTGTACGCGCCGACAATCCGTTACCACCAGGGCACATTCTATGTCGTCTGTACAAATGTCATCCGTTCGCTGGGGAAGAATAGGGATGCGACGGAGAATTTCATAGTCTCCACCGATGATATCTGGTCAGACATATGGAGCGACCCGATCTACTTTGAGTTCGATGGAATCGACCCGAGTCTTCTGTTCGATGATGATGATAGAAAAGTCTACCTGCAAGGGTCGGGTGGATTAGGGCCAAACACCACGATAAATCTCTTCGAAATCGACTTAAAGACCGGTGCAAAATTGTCGGAGGAGAAAGTGATCTGGCGTGGCACCGGTGACATTTATCCGGAGGGACCGCACTTGTATAAGTACAATGGCTGGTACTACTTGCTCATTGCGGAGGGCGGCACCCATAGCGGGCATATGGTGACGATGGCACGCTCTCGGAACGCCCTTGGTCCATACGAATCATGTCCAAATAACCCCGTCCTCACGGCGCGGGGTACTCAAGAGTATATCCAGTATACCGGCCACTGTGAAATGTTCCAGGACGAAAAGCGCCAATGGTGGGGAGTCTGCCTTGGAACCCGCCTAGAGGGCCAAGGGAGATGCCCGATGGGTCGCGAGACCTTTTTGACACGCGTGGACTGGGATGGTGAATGGCCCGTCATCGATCAAGTGAAATCGAGCCCCCGCGGCCTTTCAGTAACCCGTTCGAGCTCACACCTCACAGCAGAAGCCGGAGTAGACTACCTTTACATTCGAGATGCTGTCATGAGCAACTACCGGCTCGAGAATAATTCATCCGTGACATTGACCGCGTCATCGGTCGATTTGTCCCACCCGGAACACAGCCCGACGTTCATTGGCAAGCGCCAACGGCAATTAGCCGGCACGAGCGCTGTGGTCCTTGAAGGAATCGAAGGTTCCTGGAGCTCTGCAAAGATCCTGGCTGGGCTCGCCTGTTACAAGGAGGAGCACCGCTACGCCAGGATCTACTACGACGCTTCTCAGCAGGAGGTGGTCCTCGAACTGGTCAATGCTGCTAAGAAGATTGTTCAAACTGAGAAACACACCCTCGGGGAAGTCCCTCGCTCAATAGCTTTCCAGATAGAGTACACAGAGAAGCAGTATTCTCTGCTTTATTCAGTTCAACCTGACGTCGGAAACAACTGGACGTGCCTGGGAACGGTTGATACTCTGGATATGACTGATCCCGATTTCACCGGCCCAATTATTGGCATCTACGCTGTTGGGCAGGCGGAGGACGTACAAATTCAGTTTGAGGGCCTACATGTCCAGTAACTGGCGAGTCTCGCATGTGAAATGCGAGGCTCATCATGCGCCTCGTTTAGAATTAATGCGACCGTGAGGACTTTGGCCTGTCTATATGAAATTCAATTTTACCTCCACAATACCTAGTTTGTTGTGTTTTATTGAGGTGCCTTGTGGTCGGCTTAGGTTGTGCTCACTGAGCGGATCAGACTTGCTCAGGGAACTGAACAGTGAGCTAACAGAATGCTCACTGATCGGATCAAAGCTAGAAATACCCTCTATGTATCTATCACTAGGTGCCGCCTGTCTTCTTTTCTTCTCTAATTGCAAGGGGTCCCAACTAGCAGGATTCAGTAATTTTGAGCTCCGGGTATCATATCCCCTACATTTCAACAAGGGTAAAGAGAGGGTTATCATTTATTCGAAAGAGCGCAAATCTCTGAGACGAGAGTTTCCGAATGGACATGAAGCTACATAGATATGCAATTATTAGTGTCAAATGCATCTTTCTCTGTTTCGATTCCATGTTTGGCCAGGATGCTTGGAGGGTTGCGAAATAGTTTCTCTCCAGTTTCGTATAAGAAGTCATCTATCTCTTTTTCCAGCCACTTTGCACGTCCTGGAAAACTGTTGCTTTTATGATAATCGATCGTTACATTTGGTCGTCGGTCTGGCTAGAGACGTTTCTCACGAATTTGTTGGCGTATCTCCGTAATGAAGGAATGCTAATAATTGCCGTTGTCGACAAATGTCAAAAAGCTTAACTAGACGGACTGTATAGTATCTGGTAGTTCTAAAAAGCATGGTATGAGATCGTATTGGCTGACAATAAAACGAGAAAGTTCGAAATGCCGTAGTTTGGGCCATTTGTTAAAAGGGAAAATGCTCCTTAATGGCACAACCGTTGTATGTCTCTCCCCTCGTTATTAGCGTCTAGCCCTGCGGTATAGAGGCTGGTATGTCTATACCCCCTGCTTCGTTTAGTGCTTAGTGAAGCCTTCTATTACGAAATAATCGCTAGTCCGATTCGTGTTCTATTCCGCTAATAATGAAAGAGACGTAGAGGTAACGAAGACCTGACTGGCCTTCCCTTCACCTTTTGTATTGAAAATTGGTTTATCTCAGAAGTAAGGTGTCTCAACACATATCAAATAGATACAGGAGTCTCTCAACAGCACCTCTAGAATGGTTTAGATCAATCAATTTAAATTAGGGAGTTTTAGAAAGTTGACTACGAGTAGGTAGGGCTCGATGCTCTGGGAGAATACTTCAGCCATAAGATCCGCCCGAGCATTGGGAACCGTATTCTGGAAGTATTCCATAGTAATAAATTAAAAGTTGAATATATAGCTAATTGTCCGTGAATTCTCAAGATTATCTGCCCTGGCGACCGATACTACTCCCTCTCATCCATTCACTGAGATACTCTCTCGTACATCTCACGATGCTTATCTTCTTCACACGGCGATAATGTGGTCAACGAAACCGTCATTCTCCAAACCTTCCTTAAGAGAATCGGGCAGGACCGCGCTAATTCAATACTTAGCATAGCTATCATGGCTATGGCCCTAGGATACTTGCTCGATGCTTAAGTTCGAGTTTTCCGGGGCAAAACTCTTTATCACAGTGCCCCCATGATTTTGGATATATGTCTCGTAGTCATGTAAAACCGATTTTCGTGGGGCCGATTGGTTGAAAACAACCTGTTGAGATACTCAATCAGGGACTAATGGTCTGTGAAGTCGTGGTTGTTGGATGCACTTACTTTCCATTTCCTAGACATCTTAACAAAAGTCGTGTGTTTGGGGAATGTTGTTCGGTTGAGATTGGTGAGAACTGGAATACGTGCCGAGTTTGTTCAACTTTATCCAAGCGACCGCACACGAACTATTTATACTCGTATCTTCTGTAAAGCAAGGGTAAGCCGCTTCAGTACTAAACGTGAATGAGAGAGTTGAACGGATCCAACGAATATCGTGACGTCATAGCATAATTAGGCCCCGTGGACCTATAGAACAAGCAAAATACGAGGTTAGACGCACCTCCGTCTCCGCCACCACGCACAGAACGCCGTCATCGACGTATAAACGTTCAAAGTTTACTGTCAATACGTGTAGAAATCCCCGCAACCGCTCATGATATCTTGCCACCTTGCCTGCCTTGTAACGCGCCATAAGCCGCTCACAAAATAGGAGTCCACTCCGCAGAAGTACAGAAAGCATTGAGATAGGCGAGGTAACCATCAAGCTGATCCAGCCGTAAATTTGCACCGCACCTTTTACGTCAAAAACAAATCCATAATGGTAGAAAGCAAGGGCCATCCTCATAGCGCGGATCAAATGCAAATCGGCATCGGAGGTATCATTAGCTTCCATCGAGGCTCTGCCAGAAGAGGCTCTCGAGTTCGCTGTCGCGAGGGTAGTAGTATCACCTCTGAATCTATCCGGTCTAAACCATTCTCAAGCCCATATAGCACGTAGCCGAATGACAGAATCTTTGATTCTGCCTAGTCGACAATCCCTGTGATATTTCTGGTTTCGGGACTGGTAAGGAGATTTATCACGTTAAGGGCCCTGTGGCTAAGAACAAAAGGGAGCGCTCTTGAGCAAAGAGACGGGATCTCCTTGCGGACCCTACCTATATTTAGTATAAATCGAGACGGCACGTCTCGAGCAAGAAGGTCGGAATCAGATTGGAACTCCGCAAGCAAGATAGCGGTGTCATCTTGTATGGCCATTGATCGTTGTTCTATGGCTGTACTAAGATCTTGTTCTACAATATCAACTCTTGAAAAAGAAGCCACAAATGTGCTAGATGTACCTTGCAAGGTCCTTGATAATGTTACGCTGTCGGGGCATGTCGCCTGGTGGAATGCGCGCCATAATGTGAGCAGTCCTAGGAAGGGTCTCTATCTCGTAGATATGGAGCGACCATGAATCGCCAAGGTTCAGAGAAATATATATCTTGTCACAAACTCGGAATGGACTGCGTTGGCAAGACTAATGTTGCCTACAGTAGTTTTCGAAATCAGCTATACCTCTACACTTGCGATTTCATTCACGGAAAATAAAGACGAAAGGCGCTGCATTTTAGTTCACCGCTCCGTAATTTCTGCAGAACTGTAACGATAATGGCCGTAGACGACCGGTGAGTCATCGTCATAACACTATATAGTTCTAACGAGCATGACCACCCGCCTGCTTTCTCCCATGCCCGGGTCGAGATTTACATCGAATTCCTCAACAGCTGACCCAAAAACCTTATGGTGCTGCCTTACTCCCAAACAGCATTGCTGATTGGATGCCTAAAGAGCGCGGTTTGGCGTGGGGTCTGGGCCAAGTCGATTAGGTACCCCACACTGTGAAATGATAGCTATTCCATCATTCTACTAACCATCAAAACATGGGAATTGAGAACTCACTATACGGCACAGAGCAGTTATAATCGTAGGCTACTAGTCAACTACGTAATTCCACCATCTATATATAAGCTTACACGGTATTAAAAAGAGCCTCTTTTCACCTCGACCTCTAGTTATATTCTCATTTTCGCTTATATTAATATTCTATTACTATTCAACAGATATGCGCCTTACGAACATCGTTTTCTTCGGCTCTGTCGTGTATTGGGCCGCCGCGGCGCCCACAGAAACTCACGCCCTTGTTGAAAGACAGGCGATCAACGTGAACGGTTGCTGGTGTTGCAATACGGTTATAAAGCCTCATGGAAACTTCTATGGCGCTGGGGCTGGTTGTAAGGCTGGTAAGTCACCCTCTACAGCGTTTTAGAACCACTCTAACAGTAATCTAGGAGCATGTGGTAATCCAGATCATGAGCTCTGTTGCACTGCTGCCGTCGTGAGTTCCCTTCCTACGTTGTTTAACAGGTAGCATACTGACTGCATAGCTTCTCCCTTTTATTGCCTGTGTAGGTCCACGCTCCCCCTAGCCAGACTGGTCCCGGGGGCGGGGTTTAATTCCAGAATCGGCTCCTTCTTCTCCTTCGAGAACAATGAATAAGTAAAGGGAAATAAAAAGGAGTGGGTAGAAAAATGTATAGTTACCAATGCGTAATTGTTGGTATAGAGTGCCATAAACAGGCTAACTGCGATGAGCCGTCAGTGTATCTTATATTCAATAGCTCACTAGTCATGAACACACACTCAAGAACTATATGTTTGAAACCCGACACATCTTCCACATTCGAAGAAAGCCTCTAAAATCTGACAGACGAATGTTATAAAAGTTAAATCGAAAAGAAAAAGAAAGAAAAATCAACCAAAATACGTAAATGATGGCTACAAGTTCAGTATACTCTGTTGATGCACGGCCGAGCTTCAACGAGGTTCAAGCTGGGTCGACCATGTTCCACAATCTAGGCGGACAGACCTACCCACATCTCAATGCAACCAGCAGTAAAGCGAGGTGAAGACCATGTCCATGATTCCTAGTGAAGAAATTGTAGGCACTCTTTGGTGATTCAAACGTTAGGTTGTTAACTGTAAAAAAAAAGCGTTCTTTTTTGAGAGGCCACACAAATATGAGAATCTAGGTCGTGAATAATTTTTACTTCTAGAATTGCTCATTTCACTTCCAATTGATCGGAAAGGAAGACAAAGCATGTCAGTGACGTAATCTGCGGCCCCAAATAAGTTAGAGGGCGGTGGCATAAATTCCCGGCGGAGATTAAGGTGGATACTAATTCTAGCGTGGGATTCCAGCTCTATTTCACGAACACCCAGCCCAAGCGGAATGGATGTGAAGTCAACCTGCAATGACGTCCAGGTTCTCTTCTTTCTTTGGGGTAAGCAATATTTTCAACCTAGTCAGGGCTGTGCTTATGGCCTTTTTTTTTGATTTCGACAGTCCCAGCGGACCTTCCGGATAGCAGGCCGCCAACGACAGGAAGAAGTCAACCTGCACTCTAGTGCCTTCGATGGACTAGAGGAACGAGAGCCATTCATAGTTGACCGAGAACATGTCGAACAAGAGCATTTTACACCATGGATAACTCGGAAGTTACTGCGCACATGGAGCGACATACGAGAGTTCATCATTTCAGAGCAGGGAGCGGGAATATTCAAGTGCAGCCTCGCATATCTACTCGCATCCCTAGCAGTTTTCATACCCATGATCGGGAATCTCTTGGGCCATCAGAACGGTAAGCATTTGGTGGCGACGATCACAGTCTACTTCCATCCAGCGAGGACGCAAGGCAGCATGTACAAAGCACTAATATGTGCCTTCGTCGCTTTTATCTTTGCGGCGATTCTCTCGCTATCCAGCATGTGGGTTACAATTCTCTTTCAAAGAAAGCACGACATGATTGAATTAGGCCATGCTGTGGTGCTGGTAGTTTTCGTTGCCGGTGGATTTGGGTTCATTGGATGGACCAAACAGAGAATGAGTGATCCGCTAGTCAATGTTGCCTGCTCTTTGGCTTCGCTGGCATCAACCATTGTCATTACCAGGGAAGGTGCTGTGCAGAGTGGCGCCCTTTCTTTCGACAAGATATCCCAGGTCCTGAGAATGGTTCTTTTAGGCGTCGGGATTGCGGCAGCTGTATCGCTGTCGATATTGCCTCTTTCTGCGCGGAAGCAGTTCCGAGGAAATCTTTCAACTCTAACAGACACAGTGACGTTGATGCTCGTGAATATCACAGATAGCTTCCTTCGCGGATCGGACTACGAGCTCCAAAAGGCAGAGTTTATCAATCTCTCTGCACGTCACGATAAAGCCTTCGGTCAAATGAAGAATACAATGGAAGAGACAAAGTTTGAGCACTATGTGGCGGGAACAGGGCTAGAGTATCATCTTGAAAAACGCCTCGTGTGTTTCATGCAAGACATCACCCATAGCCTAGGCGGTCTACGCAGTGCGGGTGCTTTACACTTTGAATTACTTGCACCGACCAGGTGTACGAGGCCAACACAGATGTCGTGTCCGCAAACCGACTCCTCTGTTTCCGTCACCATAGAACGTCCGAGGCTAGTCAGTCAGCCACAATCTGTTTCGAAAACAGACGTGGAACGCTACGAGGCAGAGAAATTACAATCTGCACCTAAGATTCAACAGGACGCTCCCTTGAACCATCCCGGAGACGATTTTGAATTAATAATATCTCGGCTCGAAATTTCCATGGTGAGAGCAATGCAAATGGCAGCGATATCCGGACCCAGTGTAATCTGATGCTTAATAGCTCTCCCTGGCTTCTACCCTGAGAGATATCTTCAAAGAAGTCTCTTTTGGACCTGCTCCCGACTACAGGATCTCCATTAATGGTGGAGCTCGCCCCCGTATCGATGAAGCAGTCAAGACATACCGAGAAGTTCGAATGTCCGCTTTGTGTTCGCTTTCTCACAGAAGAGAGATAATGTCTTTCACGCAGGAGAGCAAAGCTGGTCTTGAGGAAATTTTCGCAAGCTGCGATTATTTTTCCGTGTCGCTCCTCAAGTTAAGTGAGAAGCTGCAACAGTTCTTATCTGTTTTGGAGGAGCTTCAAATCGAGGTTGAGGGAAGACCTAACGGAGTGTCTTGGACCTGGGCGTGTGTTTCGTGGTGGCGGGCTGATCATCAATGTGAGAGACACCGTTTGAATCCAGGTGAGCTTTTCTGGCCTAAGAGTTATTTGCGAACCATTCCGCTAATAGGCCCATCACCAGCGCCTTCTTCGAGCCCTTATCACACCGAAGTCAATAGTACAAGTTTGACACGCATGTCCAATCCCACCGATCAGCTTGAAAATCGACTCCGAAGACAAACACGATACGAAAGGGCTGATTCTCATGCTTGGAGACCTTTTGATTTCTTTCGCACAGATGAAATCAAGTTCGCTCTCAAAGTAGGGATCGGAGCAGCGCTTTATGCCTTGCCTTCATTTATATCCTTGACGAGACCGCTCTATTTGTTTTGGAGGGGAGAATGGGGCCTTCTCTCATACATGTTAGTATGCTCGATGACTATTGGCGCATCAAACACTACGGGTTATGCTCGGTTTCTTGGTACATGTCTTGGGGCCCTTTGTTCGATAGGGGCCTGGTACATTACCGGAGGAAATGCTTTCAGGCTCGCAGTGGTGGGTTTTGTTATGGCCCTCGGGCAATTTTATATGATCATTGTTAAGGGTAAGGGCCCCATGGGCCGATTCATACTACTAACCTACAACCTGTCCGTGCTCTATGCTTTCTCTTACTCGCAAATCGATGGCAATGAGCAGGATGACGGGGGCGAACACCTCGATATCACTGAAATTGCCCTTCATAGAGTCATCTCTGTCATCTCGGGCTGCCTTTGGGGTATCATCATCACACGAGGTATCTGGCCCATTCGCGCGCGGACAAAGCTCAATAATACTTTACATCTGCTGTGGTTCCGTTTAGTTTTGATTTGGAAATCCGATCCATTGAACACAATGGCTACGGCAGAAGCAAGCATGTCTGTGCTCTACATGAATTCTCATGACAAGAACGAGATCGAGCGCCTCCTTTCACAGCTCGAGAGTCTTCAGGTATCGGCGCGCTCCGAATTCGAACTGAAAAGTCCTTTTCCAGATGCCGAATACCGTAACATCATTCGCCAGACAAGGGGCATTGTAGACAATTTTCATTCTATGAATCTCATTCTAGTCAACATCCCTACGCCATCGGAAGGTCAAATCTCTCTTCTACGATATACTGCCGCTGTTAGACAGCAGCTGTCTGAACGTATCGGTCACCTGCTAACTGGTAAGTCTTGGAAAGGCGAACAAAAAATTTAGTTACGAATTGGCAAAAAAACCATGGTTATCTTGCTACTGACACTTAATACAGTCATGGCATCGTCAATAGCTCTGGAGAGTACCTCCAGCAATGTTCCAACAAATATAAAAGATTCACGAGACCGCCTTTTGGAACAAATTTCTCACTATCGCCAAGGACGAATGGCATCCCGTTTGACTAATGGCGAAGACTATGTATTACTATCCTCATTCGGTAAGATCCCTATAACTGATAGCCCTGAAAGCCCCGGGATACTTCAGACGTTTCTAACCAGTACTAGTTCTTGTGGCCCAGCTATTGTCAAATGAGATCTCTGAGATAATGGTGGAACTGGGTCACATTTTCCCAGTCTCGGATGACGAAGACTCTGTTAATGCAGACAGAGTATAAAACATAAGACGAGCCCTTTGACGGGATATTCGGGAAAATCTTCAGATATTTGCTATTGTGGTTTAGTCAGTAGGTTTTCGAGAACCGTCGAAGAGTATAAATGATAATACCTAGAGATATTTCCTGCAAATCCTACCTTCTCAGAAGCTTAATCTGTGTTATAAATAAACAAAGTGACGGTCGCTGGAAACTATTTTCTGGAAGCTGCACCTCGGGTGCCACTTGTGAAAGTTTTGTGACTTGGAACGAGGTCAATTTAGGCAAAATGTGTGATTCAAAGCCGCAATCTAGCCGAACCTATGCAAATTGGATATCGAGAGCATTATCGCCTAGCTCTGCATACATATCAGTGGCTATCAACAGATAGATACCTTGCGAACGGAGAACACGTTTCCCTTTATTGAGATTATGAATAATTTAATGATTCTAATACCAGGTGCATACAGCTCGCGTAGGCGCATTGCCATGTTGGAAAAAAGGTCGTTTTACATCACAGTAGGTAGGATTCGACGAGATAAATCATCAATAACAAAGCGAGTAACACCGTCATGATCAAGAGTCTCGGAGCAATTATCAGTGGCCATAGAGACGATAGAGGCGATTGAAATTGAACTGCCAGTGTTACTGGCGAACAACATTCTCAAAATTCTAGTTCAGTCCAGGTTAGAGTCTTCGTATGCGCTGCCAGATTTGGACCGATTTTCGTATATTGTCGTATTTGCGATTTTCCCATCGTTGTCAATACGAATAGTTAGGGTCTCCGTGGCAATATCGGGATATTCGGTAGCTCCAGGATCAACGATAGTTTGTATTTGACTGTATGTGTGCAAGAGCATCACGCTGTGGTACTCGCGTAGGTCCAGCAATTTTGATAAAGTGATCGACATTTCGGAACTTTGCTTCGGCTTTCACAAAATGCGGTATCTCGTCTCAGTATCGGGGGGTCTCCAATGGATTATGGTGTGTAGAACATTAGAACAAAATAGTGCGAGGTTCGAAGCATTCGTAAAGAAGTAGCTGGGCAGTAAACCGGAATTCAGTGGAATTGCGGGGATATTATATCTTTCTAATTAATTGGCCAAGGGCTTCGTAAGGGGCAAACGCCTCCCGTTAGCCTAGCGGCGGAAGTGGACTCCGTGCGGGGCTTAAGACAGGTCGAACCAACCAAAGCTAAACGCCGGTTGATAGGCTACTGGACGGGAAAAGCAGCCGACTGTAGGTGCTGCGGGTTCTGTTAGCGGGTTCTGTTAGCATCTCTGTTTCTGTGCTTCTCCCAGTATTCCAAATTTCGGATAGACTGTTGGAAGGGTTGAAACCAACTTTCATTACGCATGATGACGACAAAACACCCCTGCATTGTGCGAGGGTCGCGCTCTTTCTCTCCACTGATCTCCTCTTCATCGAAAGCGCAGATATAGACTACGAACCCAATCTCTTCAGCCTCACCTTCTCTTCGCTCGTTTTCCCTCTCTATCTTCCGCGTCGCCATTCTATATGGACTTAATTACTTTCCAATCGAGACCTATATAGTGTCGTATCTTCCCTTTTTATTTCTCGAATATGAGAAGTTTACGGATATTATTAAATACTTACGCCTAGCACCAACGTTGCTAAATAATCTATCGAGTAAAGCTATTGTTAGGACCCTGCGAGCTCCTAGGTAGCAGGGTAGTCTATCGGTAATGTATGTGCAGGTGTTTGAGAGACTACTTGCTGGTCCTCCATGCGAAGACCAGCGACAGCAATAAATACGCGGTGCGCTTAGCTAATGTGTGAAGCGACATGCACGGTCATTATGAGGCCGCCTATACATGTGCTCAGCTACTTGCGCACTGTGCGGCCCAAGGCTTGCCATATAGCCTCAGGCACCCTCAGACACCTAGCAGGTCGGAATCCTGACATGAACCTAAGACTAATATTTCTAGACACCTTTAGCCATATAATTCATCCGGGAAGATAACATCGAATTGCATTAAAAATGAACGCTAAGATGTAAAATCCGGGCCGGCCCTCCCGTATCCGCATATCATAATCGTTAACGAGTATCAAGTCTCAGCATATATCGGTAAAGATCTTCCTATAGGCACACAATAATATCCAACTCCCAACCGGAGATCCCACCCTAAAATCCTAACCTACACCGTAACTCTCCGCTCCTTCAAATACTCATAATCATCCATCGCATCCCTAGTAGCCTTCTCAAGCACAGCAGCAACCTCATCCCCAAACTCAACCTTCCACTTCGCAACCTCAACATCAACATCAACACCAGCAGGCGCTTTATCCTTAACAATACCATTGGACGCCTCAAGCGTAGAAAGCATAATAGCAGCAGCACTCCTCTGCCTCTCGATCTCCGCCGCATCCCCCGCGCTCGCGCGATCCGCCGACCAAGTCTCAGACTTCTTCTCAATAACCCCATTCCCACCCCACTCAAACTGCATAGACCCAGTATCAAGCCCCGCAAGCTCACAGAACCGCACCACAACAGCAGGGTTATGGATCACATCATTGGCATCAATAACCAACGGCTGACTCGGCACATCCGGCTGCTCCATCGCCCAGTCAAACAGCCGGCGTGTCCACGACATACTCATGTTCGCCATGCCCATACCCTTTATACCATCTTCGTCGATATAACCAGCCTGCGATATCTTCTGCATGGCCCGATACATGGATGGCCATGCGAGTGCCGGGTGACGGATGATGAAAGCCAGCTTCCACGTGCGTAGATACTGATCTGGAAGGATGGTATCGTTGTGCGCGGAGAAGGTCAGGGCGCCGTAGCTGTCCGGTGTGGTGACGTGGAAAGACTTCATATCGTCTACTTTGTTGGAGCCGTCGCGCATGCTGGTGAAGACGCCAGGATTTGTGAACCAGAAGGCGTGTTCTTTGGCGAACATGATTTTGTTCTCGGCGCGTGCGCGTGCTGAGTAGGCTTCCAAGTTGTCGAGGCTGACTTGGAAGGCGTTTTGGACTTCGGTTTTATCATTGTCGGTCCATTGTGAGAGCGGTTTGTTTAGGCGGCCTTCTTTGCCGGCTGCCATGAAGGCATCGAAGAAGAAGTAGCCGCCCTTTGGGCTAGTTAAGACGTTTGGTTGATTTGGGATGTTGAGGATCTTTAGGAGCAGGTTGGAGGCTGTGCGGGGTACGCTGATGAGTAGGAGGCGATTGGGCTGCTCATTTTGTTCGGGCCTGATGATGGCCATTGTGTATGGTTTTGTTGTTGCTTGTACACACTTTGAATGGTAGGATTTAAGCTTAAGTTGATGCGGTGCAATGAGGAAGACGATAGATGGCTACATTCTGGAGACGGATGGCGTGATCTCTCTTAAATAGATTGAACTTCAGTGCAGATCATCTCTACATTTGGTTAATTTTCTAGACTGTTTCGTCGCAGACCGCTCCACCGACGTCGTGTGGAGCAAGACTGCCACGTTGAGCAGTGAAAATCTCATCCGGAGGGGGTACATCCGCTTTTTCCATATGGAATCATGTACAAATGGACCTTCGGCCGCAAAACAGTCCGATCGGCCTTTGTCCCTGTTTATCACCGAGGGTGGAGCCGTCAATGTCCGTCCGTTTGAAGTCCGCAATTGGCCGCGCTGTCACATTGAGTGATGATCAGTGGAGTACTTTTTCAGACAAGCTGTGTTCCGAACTGCGTCGGGCGTTCGAGAGTCCGAGCCGTCGTATGACCTACAGAGTTATTAAGACCAAGATCTCTTGGAAGAGGTACATGGTCATAGGCGAGTTTTACCTGATCTAAAAGGACCTTGAAATGTAGGACGTGGGGGCGGAAACGATACAGGATCAGTAAAATATTTACTCCAGGTGGAGCTTGATATATAGTTACCTAGGTAGCCTCGTTCTCATGTTTTTCGCCAAGTAACCACCACAAGGCTACCTCGAGTTTATAGTAACATGATAAAGGACATGTAGATCAAAGCAAAATATATGCTTCACTCTACGACGTCCAAGGACGATCAGATGCAACTAACGAGCACTGCAGACTGCATATTCTCCACATCCCAACTTTGAATATAGGGCTTTACGGAAAACATCCGAGAGTCAAAATTAGAAATATTACTCGCATAGCTATACTTCCCATAGTCAAGACATTAAAATTCCCTCACGGGCATAATCAAACATTCAAACCAAAATACATATGCAATGACCAAAAGCAAACCAACATTTTCCGCCCAGGGCAAAAAAATCAGTCAGAATCGCTACTCTCCTCCTCAGCCTTTGCCAAGCTCTGCTCCTTAGTAAGAGTAGGGTTACGAATACACAGCGCGAAAGCAATCAAAGGCACAGTAAGACAGATACCAGTGATGCAAAGCAAGCGCTGGGTCTGCTTATAGGCGAGGATGGCGTTATCACGATCAGGGGTGCCGACGGGATTGAGGGCTGCGAAATTGAGGGGTTGAGCATAAATTTCGGCGGCAAGGGTTGCGTTGCCGACATGACGGTTCAGTTCCGATGGGAGAACTTGGGTCCAGATTGCACCGGAGATAGTGTTGCCTAAGGCGCTGCCGATTTGGTAGGATGCTAGGTAGATACTGGTGATAACCGCGAGATCTGGGATTGTGAGTATGGGGCTGAAATTTTGGGTTTCAATTATAAAGAGTGGTTGTACTTACGTTCGTGCTTGGTTGCGACTTGAATGCTGGCTTGCGCTGGGTAGGGGAACATTCCGCCGGCTGGGGGTTGTTAGATGTTTCGTTACTTGGGGGCGGAGGTTGTTCGATAGGTCCATGGATGTTTGTATCACTTACCAATACCTAGCAGCACTTGCGCACCAATGACACCGGAGTGACTAGAGCCCTCACTGCCACCGCGGAAGTAAATTAGGATACCAAAGGCAACCAGGAAGAGAACCGTGCCGGACACGATGAAGGGCTTCAATTGGCGGAGTTTAAGGACGACGAAGCCAATGAAGACACCAGTAAGGACGGAAGCGAAGCTGTATAGAGAGGTGATTCGGGTTGCGCTGGTGACTGTTTCGTCGAAGCTGACGATGAGAACTGTGTACAGGAAGTCTCCTTGCAAGTACCACGCTGAACCGAATTAGATTAGACATGCATCATGTAGCAATTATGCAATGAACGTACCGGTGTTAAGCATCACAGCAATACCGATAGAACCCCAAATAGCGCGGTCTCGGACAAGCTGGAGATAAGGTTAACAATTGACATGAGGAAAAATATTCGCAGTGTAGACTTACCTTGAAAGGCAACATGGGATACTTGCAAGTCCGTTCCCAGAAGATCCAAGCGGGAATCAAACAAACACCCACAACAAGAGGCGCAATAACTTTAGCAGTCTTCCATTGAGAAGTAACACCTCCGGCAAGGGTGAACGGAACAAGGATACAAGCCAACATAGCGATCAGCAAGATGATGCCGATAATATCTAGGCGCCAGAAGAGCTCTGACGCCAATTTCCTTCCGCCAAGCAGCTCAAAAGAGCTCTTGTAAGACTCCAGAGCACCACTCTTTCTTGTGCGTCGACTGACGATAACTAAGACTGCAAGCAGAGGTATAGCGCACACGGGGAAAATAATTGCGAACATGCCGATGCCCCATTGCCATGTAGTAACCTTGAGCACGGACGTCGTCAAGTTGCCACTAATCCAAGTGTTGATCTGGGTTATGTTAGCATTTCAATGTCCTGGATTCGCGCTTTTGGGGAATTATGCGAAACCCACGATAAATGGCATAGCAGGAATGTAGGAGAAGAGGAGACGGGATCGGGTGGAGGTAACATCGGCAATGAGAACCTCGACGAGAAGCATGATAGTAGTGTATCCGATCTAAGCCGAGTCAGTACAAGTAAGAAGGATGATATGCGCGCATCTTACCTGGTAGATCACAGCGCCTGCAGCAAATGTCTCCATGTTCTTCGCGCATGTCTCAACTACAGTTCCAACAGTATAGAAAACAATCGAGACGAGGATAAGTTCCGCTCTGCCGAAAACATCTGCAATTTTGGCAGCGGTGGGCTGAAACATCCACAGTCAGCTTTTATCATACATTGGGGTTTGAGTATGCTCACTTGCGCGGCGGTGGCGATCACGGCTCGCAGAACATTGATGGTCGCGAGTAGACTGTGGTTGTCATAATACTGGGTGGCATAGGGCTATCCAAAGACAGATTTGTTAGTATCTTCTTTTTTGTGTGGCAGACTCATGAAGCTTGGGATCAGTTACCTGATATGCATAGCGAACAGTTCCATCCAGACCATAAACATAAGCGATCAAGAAAATCGCAAGAAACAGACACACGCGATCAACCAGTCTGAAGTTCGCATTGATAATCTCAATCCGACGAACACCAGGACTTCCCTGGCCCAACAAGTCCACGCGGTCGTTCACGGGGACAGTTTGATTGTGGGTGTTCTTCTCTGACCCCATAGGATCGGCAATCTCAGTAACCGACATGATGAGATCTCACTCAAACACTCAAACACAGCTGAAAGAAATGAGAGAGAAGAAATACTCGAACATGCGAACCGAAGAAAAAAAAATTAAGTAAAAATAACCAGCCAAGACTTGAGGGGGCAAAAAAAAAACACAAAAAAGAAGTAGGCAATCTTATCTGATGAGCTGAAAGCGACGGCTTACCCGGTTGGGAGAATTGCCTCCCGCTAGGGTCTTGGGGTCCCAGAGCCACAGCCACTCAGAAAGTGGGAATAGAGACCCATCTCGTATTTGCACATGATCTTTGCACTGGGATCTCGCTCTAGACCGGAGCTGTATGGGGTGATTTCGGGATTTGCTGAATTATGACGGGCCATTCCATGTTTTTTTACCTATGCTGCACGGGGGTTGTTCCTGTTGCAGTATGTAGACGCGATCGATTGGTTGGCATTGCTTCTAAGGTTGGGGTTGTGTATGACTTTTTACTCGACACCTCGGCTGTTGCGCCTGTTCGGCTTATGGGCCTTCGTATCAATCTTTGATTTTTGGGGCTTTGGATTTATGGTTTGATCTGATAAAAATTGGTGTGAATATCCAAGGTTGTGTGGAGTCTCCTCAACCTTCAAACACTACACAGTCATATTTTCTACTTGTTTGTCGGACCTGCACCACGTAGCATATACTTATAAAAAATATCCGCCAACTTAAAGTTGCGCGTGGCTCGCAGAAAAACGGTAGAGTTTTCCATGTGTGCCAAGCCAATAGCCGAGTTAAGAGGATGTGGCATCGGTGAATATTGTCCAAGAAACATACCAAGGAAACCGTTTCGCTAGGCAAATGAATTCCCGTGAAATTTCTATTTTGAATTACCATTCCTAATACACTTACCTGAAAACGACTTCTACTATCACAACTCTACGCTATCCCGTGCATTGTGGCTAAAAACAAAATGTCATATATTCATCATTAAGACGTGATGATCATGATAAAATATTCGTAAATCCCCCAAGTCCGACAAAAATTCCTCCATATACATGCAATGTCACCCATCAAGCCACCACGGGTAGCAGTTCTCCTAATTAAAATCATGTCTCGTGATCCCCCAGCCAGAAATATGCAATCAAAGTCTTGACCTGAAAGCAGTCCGCGGACCAGGCGAAATAGGCGCAGCGTCTTGGATGAGACGACTCATCTCGGGATCATAAAGTGCCTCCGCCGAGACCGTCGCCTGGATCCGCTTTCCAAAGTATTCAATCTCCACACTTTCACCATCGTTCACACTCCCAGGAAGCCAAGCATACGCAACAGGCTGGCCAATCGTGTACCCGAATGCGGCGCTTGTGACATAGCCAACTGCCTTTCCTTTGTAGAAGACAGGTTCCTTGCCCAGGACGACTGAACGACCATCATTAATAGTCAGAGGCCGGAGACGACGAGTAGGTGTTTGTGTTGAGAGACGCTGGATAGCAGCCTTGCCAACGAAGTCATAACTCTTATTTGAGTCAATAGCGTAGGCGACTCCAGCTTCGAAGGGGTTGTGTTCGGTGGTCATATCCACACCGTAGATTCGATACCCCTTTTCAATTCTCAATGAGTTGAAAGCGCTACGGCCGCCGGCAATGAGACCGTGCAATTTTCCTGCTTGCCAGATAATGTCCCAAAGCCGCTGGCCATACTCGGCGCTGGACTGAATTTCCCAGCCTAGCTCGCCGACGTAGGACTTGCGGATAACTGTTACCGGGATACCGGCGAGAATGGTTTTCTTAACTCCGAAGTAAGGCAGGGCTTTGTTGGAGAAGTCGTCCGCGCTGATTGCGCTGATGACTTCCCGAGCGCGCGGACCCCAGAGGCCGATGCAGCATGTGCTGCCTGTGATATCGCGGACTTGGGCCCATTGGCTGGCGTGTTTTCCTTGAAGGCGCGCCTCTTTTTGGAGGTAGGCTAGCTCGGTTGCACTGTTTGCGCCGATTTGGAATACATCATTTTCCAATCTGGACACGAAGATGTCGCCGCGAATACCACCATGATTGTCGAGAAGAAGGGTGTAGGTGACGCTGCCTGGCTTGGCGGTCATGTTGCCGGTGGTCAATCGTTGGAGTAATTGAACAGCGCCTGGACCAGAGACCTCAAATCGATGAAAGGAAGTCATATCAAACATGGCGACCGCGTTTCGTGTCTTCCAAGCCTCGGCTGCGGAAATGGGCGAATGGAACTGTGCCGACCAAGCATCTCTCTCGACAGGCCTCCATGATGCCGGGAGAGCCTTGACCAGATCTTTGTTCGCTTCGTACCACCACGGTCTCTCCCAACCACCCGTCTCTAGGAAGAAAGCTCCGAGCTCTTGTTGGCGGGCGTGGAAGGGACTGACACGAAGCTTGCGAGGAGACTCGCGCGGTTGAAGCGGGTGAAGAATATCGTATATCTCAACGAAGTTCTGCTGCGACGTCTCGCTCACATATTCGGGACTGAGTTGGATCTCCTCGAAGCGGGATAGCTCGCATTCTGAGACGTCGATGTCCGAGTGGCCAGTTGTGAGGATCTGAGCCAGGGCTCGCGCGACACCGGCTGAATGCGTGACCCACACTGCTTCGGCTACGTAGAAGCCGTCGAGGTGAGACGGTTGGCCGAGAATTGGGCCTCCATCAGGTGTGAATGAGAATACACCATTGAAGCCGTCGGCGATCTCGGTTTCTTGAAGGATGGGAAGGAGAGACTGGGTTTCTTTCCAGGCAGGGTCGAAGTCTTCTTTTGTGAATTCCAGACGAGAGGGCATATTGTGTTCGTCGACATGCTTTGGTGTTAGACCAAGTGAGGAAGCAATAACGGGCATTGGACGGTGTCCGTAGTATCCAATACCGTACTGTTCACCATGTTCACGGTAGTAGAGGTCCTGGTCTTGGTGTCGGAGAATTGGAAGAGTAGCATTCATGCCGTTGATCTGGGAGTTGATATCACGGCTAGCGAGGGCAGGGACCGCAGTTGTCTTCGCATACTGGTGTGCTAGGGGAAGTAAAGGAATCTGCACTCCAACCATGGCTCCTAGCTCAACACCCCAGAAACCAGCACAGGAGACCACGATATCTGCTGGAATGCTTCCGTTGGAGGTAGTCACTCCGGTCACACGAGAGCCTGCACGCTCGATACCGGTAACTGGCGTATGTTCAAGGTACCTGACGCCCGCCTGTTTCGTGCGTTCGATAAGGAGCTGTGTGGCACGAGCTGCTAGTGCGAGACCATCACTGGGAATATGCAAACCCCCCAACACCATATCATGGTTCAAATGAGGGTACATTTTAAAACACTCCTCGGCGCTCACCAGACGTGCCTCGATCCCCCATGCGGAGGCATATCCAAGCTTACGCTTTAGCTCCTCCAGCCGTGCCGGCGTGGTGGCAACCTCGAGCCCACCCACCTGGTTGAAACACTTTTGCCCATCCTTCTCAATCGATAGAAGCTTCTCAACTGTGTAGCGTGCGAGGTGTGTCATGGTTTTGGAGGTATTGGTCTGGAAGACGAGGCCGGGAGCATGTGACGTCGACCCGCCAGGCATATTCAGCGGGCCTTGCTCGACGACGGTGATATCCGTCCATCCTCGAGAGACCAGCTCATCGGCGAGGTTAGTGCCGACGATTCCCGCACCGATGATGATAACGCGTTGTGAAAGGGACATTCCCAGGCTAATAGAGGACGAGTAATATGGTGGCCAATGAAGCGGGCGTGGCTGCTATTTGTATACCCTTGATAAGAGCAATGTGTACCTTGCTAACTCCCCGCACTCCGCAGAGCCGATACGATGTTATCGTCAAGCTGATAATGAGGCCATGCCCCGCACGGGTTACGGTGATATATGGCCGGGCATGTCTGTCACGGTCCTCTTACGGTCCCGGGTTTCCCAGAAACGGATTGGAGGGGCAGCTTATTGCCCCACGTTCATGGGCGATAATTTAGGTACAGTGGGCAATAATGATCGACAAGGCAGCTCCGTGAAGAGCTCATTCGTCAACAGTGGATAAGATTTCCTTTTTTGGTGCTCTGCTCGGGGTCCAGATTGGAACCGGATGTTAGTATGAGGGGCAGGAGCATGGGTGACTTCATGGGATTGAGGTATTGTCCAATGAGGAACAGTCCGTGAAGTTCCCATATCTGTTCCGATCAGCTGTTTGTGCTGGTTCTGGGGGTGAAAGTAGGGATGCAGTGTTGCCTCAGGCAACAACTACCGATATGCTCCTACCACGTGATCGGCATTGGGCCGAGATCCGACAGCCAATCGATTCAGAGACTTGCATAGTAGCCATGAACAACACTCATTTGAAGACAGATGCGACGTGCATTCATGAAGGATTGACTGATTTAGAGAACAAACATAGGGCTCGCTCACTCGTCTATCGCTGCTACTACCACGACAACAATATCAGATGGGAGTGTTTTCTCGAGCGACTGAAAAGACTTCTGACGAGAAGAACTACTCAATTCTGATTTTAATTATGGCGATTCTTGGCGAGTAACTTCCATCAACTAGAGTGTGCAAACCAGCAGGACTCCTCACTGGACGAGTACCTAGTGCATGGCGGACGGAGTAAGGACTACAAGGAGTCAAATGCTCACATAGTCATGCTTGACATGCAGTGGTTTGATTGCAAGGAAAATTCTCATGAAAATGACGACGGAGACTTCCAAGTCGGCTAGATGAAGGTCTTAGCAATCACATTCTAAGTTATTCACGATCGTACATGATGCTTCAATGTGGCCTGCGCAGACGGTTACTTATAGTGATCTCCCGCGATATCGCGTTTGCTATGAGCTTATATAAGATTTGTGGTCGCTTGATGTCGGTTCTCGCCTGCGGTGTCTCCGGAAGAAGCAATATAAATGCTGCATAGCTGGAATTAGCAGCTCTTCTTATAACGGGCAACATATAATATATAGATATGGGGAAACTCTGAATATCATAACAAGCTGTTCTATTAAAGTGCATAGATCTGAGCTAAACCGTTAACAAGTATTGCCATTGGCAGCACATTCCAACATCGAGGTCAAAAATGGTGCAATCCCTATTTTACGGTTTGTGATTGGTCAGAATCAGATTAGACTGCAGGGGCTAAAACGATGGCTGTGGAGTAAACAAAAGATCTATAAACATAGAACAACATCCTGCTTTTCATCCAATTCAAATATTCCACGCTATATCAGTAAAAGACATGGCCAAACTGGAAAGACAACCCCAGAATGAGAGCGGGGCGTTTGACGTTCGGCTGGGGCCGATCCGTGGGGAAAACGAGAATCTCCTTCACCCTTGACCGCGAATTCTCAAGACAAACAATACATCTCTTTCGCAATGCCATCATAAATCCCTTACTTACACCGTCCATCATGCCTGAAAGCTCCCCGAACCGCCCAGTTCCTGGAGAACCTCCCAATGCAATCTTGACCGACTCCCGCCCGACATCCGCTCACGGTGACGATCGGGAGGCGTTGGAGCTTCATCACATCCAAACGCGCGAAGACGACGAGTTAGACTACTCCGACCCCTCGGCTTCGTCTGGGGAGGAGTATCGTGTAACTACTACACATCGTACTACCTCTCGAACTAGTACCCAAGAACGTGCAGCTGGCAAGGGCCCTTGGAGCCGGATCCGCCGGTTCTGGTGCCGACATGTCATCTTGACGGTAGCTCAAAAGAGCAATCGCGATCATTTTGGTGAGTATTACCGTTTTAATTGTAACTCTGTGGGCAATTTGGAAACAGTCAATGTCAATCCCATGATGAGCGTTGATGTGACGTTTCCAGATCTGTCACATTCCCGATAGCCTTGCAACGGATTGAACACACCGCTGACTCGCCCCAAGCTTTGGAAAGGACATTTCTGGCCTATATTCGCACTTCCACTTTTATCGCTATGCAGGGTGTGCTTATCGCTCAACTATTCCGCCTACAGCAGCCAAACACTGAAGTCCATTACCTCTCATTCCACGCGGTTGGCATTCCACTTTCGGTCGCTTGCCACTTTGTTGCTGTTCTGGTCACCTTGATAGGTGCTTTTCGATTCTGGAGACAGCAAAATGCTATTTCCCGCGGTAAAGTGTATGCTGGTGGATGGGATATAAACTCCGTGGGAATCTTACTCTTCATAGTGGGCTTCATCGAATCCTACATGTTCAAGTCAGTACTAATGTGGTTAACTCAGATTATTGTTGCGACATTGGTGTTATCTGTCGTCATACTAATCCAAATTGAGCAGCAACCCGGGGCGTTGTTCAATCGAATACTGCGGTTATGATTTCTGTTCGCTGATTACTCTAACATTGTCATGCTGGCATCACAAAAGCGAGTCAAAGAATTATCAAAAGCATACAGGCGGTTACTTCATCAACTCATATCAATTTAATCATAGTGTCATTGCAAAGATATATTATAACCTCCCGACATGTCTGACAAGCTATGCACTCCTTCAGCGTGGTCACTTCAACAGCCTGTCGATCTCCCTCACTTCTTTTTCCGCATAAAAAGGTGCAGCCTGCACCCCTTTCCAAACCCCACCATCAGCCGGCATCAAGTCCCCAGTCCTATGACACGCAAGCAACGCAGGATAAAGCTTCGTAATCAAAGACCGAATCGCAACCCTAAAGACTCCAGAATAATCCAAACCCCCATCCACCCCATCCACCCCATCCAACCCAAGCGTAACATCGACAGCCTTAACAGAAGGAACCCCATCCTCACCCCCCGATCCGGACCCAACAACAGACCGAATACAGTCCCCGTCAACCATAAGACACATACGCATCTGAAGACCAGCAACAAGGCGATCCCCAGGCTCATCATCTTCCATATCCTCCGCACAAAGCCGGTACGCAAACGCCACCCGTTCAGCCAATTCATTCGCCAACGAATCATCATCAACAATCTTCATAAAGACACACTCCGCAACGCGGGATAATCCCGATTCGGCGGGTGCATTCTCAATCCCCTCTTCTAGGATTTCGTTGCATTCTTCGAGGAATTGCGCCCAGATGTCTTCGTTGCTGTAGTCTGTGCGGAAAACTAGGAATCCGAACTCCGTCCAGTTTTCGGCTTTGATTGTTTCTACTAGGGTTTGTAGGTTTTCTAATGTTGTATCTTCGACTTGGGCTTGGGTCTGGTTTGTTGGTTCCATGTTTTGTTCTGGTCCTGTATTTGGTTCTAAGTCCTTCTGAATTTTACCCCCATTCTTGCGTTTTATGCCTGGAAACTCTCGCATAGTCTATAGATCTCAAAGGGAGATCGACTGCTGTGAGCACATTGGTTGTCCTTACGGCTTGGATCACTTGATAGGAATGAATATGTATATTTAAACTTAACAAGCAGGAATTGATATATAGAAATTTTCAATAGGTGAATATATTCCTCAACTATTTGCAAATGTTCAAGATATTGGTGCCTCAGGCAGATTATCTGATGAATAAACCACGGGAAATGCCGAGGTCCATTTGCATAAGTGAAGAGTCGACAATTCATTCGCCAACGCCATTTTATTCTTCCCAACGATCCACTTGCTTTGAAGAGATTGGCGCATGTTATCGATCAGTCCCCAACCATATGGCTTGCCGGCCAATGTTGTATGTGATTCCCCGGACGAATTCCCACAACGGGCCAGCCACCGATGGAGTTTTTTTTTTCTTAAAGGAGTTGGTTTATAACTAGAAAAGAGCCACCCACTGGAAGCATTCAACCACCTATCACTGTACTAAATTGAGATACCCTGCACAAGCCCCAGCATCTCCACAATCCATGGCATAATGTCTCCACGGCCAATCCCATTCCCAGGCTTCACCCCGATATCTGAACGGGTGTACCTTCGCAATGGCAATGAAAAAAGCAAGCCCGTCCCTGCTGACGAGCCAACGACAATTATCATCTCCGGCTGGGGCGATGGCATGCCAAAGCACGTCTCCAAGTATTCCGATGGCTTCCATGAGCTCTTCCCATCTTCACGCATTATTGTGATCCTGTCGGGTACTCTTCAAGCCTCAAACCAGCAAGAAGAAGCAAGAATCGAAGCTATGATGCCAGTCGTCGATACTATTTTCCCTACTCCAACTGGAAGCGGCGGTGAAGAGGAGCGCGTCCTTATCCACGCCATGTCCAATACGGGCGCGATCTTTGCCGCAGCCGCTGTTGTCGGATATCAACGACGACATGGCACCGACAAGACTTTCCCCCACAAGCTCTTGATTTGTGACTCCACTCCTGGAAGTTTGGACTTCGCATCTCAGGTTGGTCGTTGGTCGCACGCTATGGCCGTCGGCACAGCGAAATTCTTCCCCTGGCCCGCTATCATCACGCAGGGTCTGTGGTATATCTTCCTCTGGGCGAACTGGGCTTGGGAACGACTGCGCGGGTCAGAGCCCTCCGGCGTTTGGGCGAACCGGGTTATGACCGATAAAAGTATCACATCGACCGATTCTCACAGGTTGTATCTGTATTCCAAAGAAGATGAAATTATCGGATGGAAGGATCTTGAAGAGAATGTTGCTGGCGTGAAGGCTTTGGGCTGGCCGGTTGATTTGGAAATGTTCGAAGGTTCGCCGCATGTCGGACATATGAGACTACATCCCGAGCAGTACTGGAATAAGATTTCCAATGCTTGGAAACAAGCGGTCGCCGATAAATAATTGGTTGAATCATTGGACATTGCATCGGGAACATTTGTATTCTTAGCTTAGACCATATATAATACTTACATAGAAGGCATCTCCTCGCGTCAGTATTTACGAACGCTCGCAGAGTCTCAAATGCAATTTATCAATTTAATAATCAATTAGGAGCGTTACTAAACAAATGGCGTCTCTCACATGATGTCAATTTAATACAAGACCACAACCAAAATCCACTATGCAAATCAATCTCGGTCATCAGGATGGAAAACCAAAGCCCGAACCTCAATACTTTCCCGACCCGCCTCATTTTCTGTCTCGGGGTTAACAAAGGCAGTGTGTGGCACACGACGAGCCCGTCCATCCGTTTTCGAATCAAAGCACTTGATCAAAGTAACCAGATCCGGAGTCTGAGCATAGCGGTAGTACCACTTGATATCAGGATCCGGCTTCACAGTGTACGTCTCACCCTCACGGTTAGGGTATATCAACTTAATGGGAACGAGATCACTGTCTGGAACTGAGTTTGCATCAGCGACCGCGAGGGGGTCTTTCAGTATAGTCTTGATTGGACGCCAAACGTTGATGATCTGATACCGGCCCTTTAGCAGCTCAGGTGCGTCTTCTGGGAGATGGAAGGGGACTCTGCTTTTGGCTGCAGAGTAGGATTGGTCGATGTGGACGCGTTGAACTGGACCGCGGAGCTTTGCGACGCTGTCGTTGTCATTTGATGCTCGACGGATAGTATGGTCAAAGATGAAGATTCGGGAGGCACCCGTGCTATACTGGTCAGTCTTAGTTCAAAATCAGGCTGAGATAGGTTGCGCACGCGTCTTTTAGTAGTTGCTCCGTCTCTGGGTAATACTCCCTCTTGATCTTTTCATCATCTTGGAAATCTTTCTCTTGACTTTCGTGGTAGTAGAGCTGGAACCCATGGCCATCCAGCGTGTAGTCCAATTCATGGCCACTGATATCATGGATGGTGGCTGGTAGGGTTGTCACAGGTCTATCGTAGGTCTCCGGTCTATCGACATATGTTGGTTCTGGAGGGGAGCCATCTTCGTTTTCTTTCAGGAAGTTTAGTGTGGTCTGGACATGGTGAGGTTTCTCGGTAAGAGGGATTTGAGGCTTTTCAGCCAGCGAAGTACCGTGACGACCGGGGAGTTGAACAGCTGCAGAAGCCATATGGGTGGTTTGAAATTCAAATTATTTATCTGGAAGAGATTCGCGATGTTATTGTCGGAGAAATTGAGGATATTTCGATCGTTATATAGTAAAGCCATTCTGCGGGGAGGGTTCCATTTGTCAGAAACAGCACGCAATATTCGTATGACATGGAGAAATGCTGATAAATGCGTTGCTTTGTTGCGAAACACGTCAAGTCTAGCAATAACAAGTACATGTGATACAGTCGCATTATTAATTGTCTATGTCCTGCATATCCAATTTATAATCCCGCGTTCTCCAGGATATCATTCGACAGTAAGGCTGACGCAACAGAGGACTCCGTATGAGAACAGAGATTTCTAACGATCAAATGAGATATTTCTTTTTCTCCAATTCTCTCGCGAGGTGGGTTCTATGTTTATGTCCGCTTGGCACTCGTTAACAAAATAGGTAGAGTGCTCGGGGAAGGTAAGTGACAAGCACTTACGGCTATTCCGATTACAGTACCTAACACAAACCTTTTGGGACTGTCCTTAACTTATGAACTTAATCCGAAATTTGGTGTGGCCATCCATGCTTTAGACTGAGTCTAGAATCATAACGCTAAGATATTCCATGCAGTCTTTACCATGATCAGAGTACCTTTGGGTTCTAGGTATTGTATCCTACTAGAAGACAAAAGTGGTGCGCACATCGACCCTGAAGCGACGAAAAGAATAGGGCGATAGAAACGTAAAGTGAAAGGGAAAAACCGTAAATGTTCTCAATGAACTCATTCTTCCTATTCCCGTGTCCAGCTCAACATTCTATGTCAAAACACATCCTCAATTTCCTCATAACATCTAGATCCTTTCTATTCCGGTATAGCCACCATAAAGTTATAACAACCAAGGTCATAGGGATTATACTAATAAACCACAATACCCATGCCTTCTTTTGCGCGGGATCCCCAGACACACCAGCATCAACTAGTGTTGCCGTAAAGGGGCCAGAACACTGCCAATACAGCAATTTCCTTCATTGATTGGCGTCTATTGGCATCGACTGGAGTCTCCCTCTATGCCATGGGCAATTTGAAGCACAAGACCATTGATAAGAGACAAAGTGCTCTCTTTTTGTAGCATGTAGTCAAGAAACCAAAAATTCTGCTTCTCCATGGAAGATGTAACGTAAGACATTGAATCAGCGACTCGTTGATGTACAAAGGGGTCGTGGTGAGGGAGCAATAAAACAAGGCGGAATGAGCACAAGTGGCGTTGGAAATTGTTCACATGGTATTTGGACGCCTCACAACAAATCGTTGAGAGGATACCGTGAATGTCAAAGTATTCGTCCATAAAAGCAGTAGGGTTGGCAGATATATTAGCCTTATCAATTTCAGTATTAAGGATTGATTTGAGAGTTCCGATGGTTGCGTCAGCCACTTCGTGGGAAATTATATATGCTGCATGTGGTAGGATAATCTTATCCAAAACACTCAAAATAGCCCCAGTACTAAATTTAGAGCTTATATCTGTTTTACCAACAGCCACATTGGATTCTGCAAGTCCTGGGAACCCCAATATCCGCCTAAATGCGTTATGATATCGCACGCGACCTCGCCATGCCACCAAGCTTCCGCCATCATCCACATAAAAATGAGAGCTCGAAGCCCGGTAATCCGGTCGACGACCAGGTTGAGAGGAAAAGCGGGTTTATTTGCATGATTCTTGTCATTTGAAGACAGTTTTCCTTCATAATCAAGGCGACCCATGCGAAGCTGGTCCAGTTGATATTGTATGAGAGTATAGGGTATACAAGAAGCAATCTGCGGCAGTACCTACTGCTTACGAGTAGGAACGTCGCTCTATAGAAATATTTTAGCTTTGCCAACCATAGTTCACAGCCCGAAATACGGAAGCTAATAATGCCTCCAGAGGGACAGTACTTTGGCCGACGCAATCATGCACTTTTCTTCGCACTAGCTGGTTGGCTGGCTTGAGTGCTGGGCCACTCAAATGGCTGCAGGATGGAGAAGTTATCGCGCGGGGCTTTGAGCGGTATATTTGAATCGTATTGCAGCTCAAGAAAGAAGAATTTGCTACCCAATGGAATGAAAAAAAGAGTAAATATGGAAAGACGTATCATCATATAGGAGGGTTAAGATATAATCTTCATTTAATATCTTTGCGCTATACGCTGGGATCTAGATGTGTTAGATTCGTCTTAGCTTTAAGCTACATAGTGAAGATTGGCACTTTCCTTTGCATGAAATAACTTGGTGTGATAATATAAGGTGTACAAAAGCCTGACATCCAACAATTGTCTCGGAGAATTAAACGAACTTTGCGGAGTAGTCACCACCAAGCTCCTTCAACATGGGCGGAAGAAGTAAAGATCTCCAGGCTGCTAGCAGTACTGGTGCTACATGTCGTGAGTATCTAAGCATTTAACGTACTCGAACGTATAAGAGGGAGATGGACTTCATGGATACGTTTGAACAAAATTTGTAGACGCAATTATGGACTCAAAGAAAGGAAAGAAAAAGCGTATGTATCATTAAGGTACAGCAAAGAACAAGCAACAACGAGAATCATGAAAGAATCATTTGTGCGATAGGGTCTTCGAATCGTACAGTTGCCATATTGCTCACGCTGCAAACACGCCTTTTGCCAATGGGCTCGCAACAATTCTTGAGAAAGAATAATCAGACAGAGAAAGGAAACCAAAAAAAGGATCGCATCATACACCGGTACCAGGAAAAAAAGTAAAGGAATGGAAAACCAAATCGCGAATAAGGCAGCTCAGAACGAAAAACAAAAAGGAGAAAAGCCGATGGAAGACATCCAGCAGGTAAATAAAAGGGAATAGTTATTGTGACAACTCAACATCATGGACAGAAGAAGTGAACGCTTGGCTTGTGTTGACCTCAACTCAGGCTCAAGGGATTAGAACATGAGGGAGCGGGTTTTCTGTCGACGTGCCTCGGCACCTCCCATTTCAGGTTGGGAATATGTGTGCTTGTGTTTGGAGCGAGGGGGCTGCGACGCCGGCGCCCCAGATCCTGCCGAAGAAGGCGGTCCCATCATTGCACTGTTCCTATTCCGAGAAGGCGAAGAGGGTGCTACGGGAATGCCGCTGCTGGGTCGGGAAGTCTCTTGTTTCGCCATCATGCTGCGCTCGCGCTTGAGCACAAGATCGGCCCAGGCCTTGATTGCACCATTTCCGGAGGTAGAGCCCTTACCGACAGCCTCGGACATGACTCTGAGCCAACCTTCCTTGTCTGCAGCGCTGTCGGCGTAAAAGTCAATCACTTCACCATTTCCAAAGCGAATCCGGAAACCCTCTTCGACAAACATGTAGCCGTCTTCTTCCTCTGCGAATGCAGACTTCCGGCGACCGCCATTTTTGGTGCTGGTCTCCTTCTGAAGAAGTGAGGACCGGTCGTCAATGAGCTTGGATGCCTTGGCAAGGTTTATTGTGGCTCGGGGCTGGCGCGTTGTTTCGTGATACGCTGTCAATTTGGATCCCTGAAGCTTGAAGAAGCGACGGCGCCAGAACTATTGTCGATTAGTAGGTACCTAATGGTGAGATTATTGGCAAGACTTACTGGGCAATCGCCACCTTGTTGGGACAGGAATCCCTCCCAAGACCGAGATGCAACGCTCTCTGCGTCTCGCATTTCACGAATGCAAGCATTCATACTCTTTGGCATGTCCTCATCCTTGCTGCCCTTGGGCTTGGGCACAAAGAGGAGCTGCACTTCCAATTTGCCGATCTTGTACGGTGGTCGACGCTGCGCATTTACGTTAGTCGCACTCTTCTTGCTCTTGACACTACTCATTTGATCTTCGACGGCCCATTCGTTGAAGCACGCAACGTCAACGACGTGAGGACGGCCAAAGGCTTGCTGTTCGTGGTCGCTCAGGGCAACATAGGCACGGCCAAAGCTACCATCACGAGCAACCAGGTTGCGGAGGCGATCGTAGACAGGCGCATTGACATCCTTGGCCTTCTGCTGCTGAGACTGCATTTGCTGCTTCATGTCAAGCTCCTTGCGACGACGAGGGGAAGCAAACACACGACTGAGGGCCGAGGCCTTTTGGCGCGATGGGGATGCCGCAGGCTCGGGTGTTTGGAACTTGTTTTCATCGATTTTCATCTGCAGAGTCAACTGGAACTCCAGATCGTTCTGTACAATGAGCTCGAACTCCTGTCCGATTGGGGCCGTCTTGCCCATCTCCAGCCAAGATGTGGTGACACAGTGTAACCCGTTATCCAAGGTCAGTGCGAAGTATGAACGTTCACCTATCGATCTGGTTAGTCACAATGGCCTGCGTCATGGGTGTCAATAAAAAGTCTTACCACGAGGAAGAGGCATGTCCAAGTACTTGAGCCCTACAACCTTCACGAACAGACGACCACGCTCTTCACCATCTTCAAATGACTCAGAGGTAACTGGCTCGTTCTCTTCGATGGTGGCCGGGGCGTCTTGAACATTACTAGCCTGTCCCGGGAGGGGAGGCACTGGGCCAGCACCAGGAACAGGCTTCTTCTTCGGAATCCCAGTGGCGGGCTTGATACTTGAGCGTCGCGCTGATCCGTTCCAAGGGACAGTGGTCCAAGTTTGTTGGCTAGGCTTGCGTGGAGAGGATCCAGCAGACCTTGTACCACGTGGGTCCTGGGGAGTCTGTTCGGGAGAGGGCATGGGTTCTTCCTCGTTGCGGCTGCTAGCAATGATGACTTTGGTGTTCTGTCTCATGAGGTAGCCTCGCTGTACGGGAAAACAAGAGTCAGCGGGGATAAAACGATTTTCTCGGGTAACGGGACCCTGGGGGTATGCTGCCGGTGAAGGAGCAAGACGGGGAATTGGGGAAAGAGCCAGGTGGAACGCAACCTTTTGGGACTCGATGACACGATCAAACTCCTTGTTCAGTCCGGAGCCAAGGCTCTCTTCTTGAATACTGAACGGGATGTCCAGCTTCATGAGACTGCTTTGCCGTTGGTTGAAATCGGTGGGAAGGGCCAATTTAGGCGGCGAGTCGGTCTGCTTGTTTTCATGATCGTAGGGAGCCGACTCATGGGAAATCTGCTTGGTGAGTGGAGGCACTGGGGGAATATGTTGACCACTGATCTTGCGGCGAGTGGCAGCCATTGACTGCATATCGGCAGGGGTCAATGAGGGTCGGGTCTTGAGGCCGGCGCCAGGGGCTCTGATTGTGGCCACCGGTTCAGGCACAGACTCGTCGGAGGAGCTCTCGGCTTCATCCTGACGCTCCTCCTGTCCCTCTTCGGGCTGCTGCTCTTCTTCTGGCTCTTCCTCGTATTCCTCGTCGTCTTCAATGGGGTGACGAATCACGGAGTCTGGAGTGGAGGGCTCTGAAGCTTGGTCTTCGTGCATCTCAGGGGTGACAGGACGTCCGAGGGACTGGCGAATTGAAGTCATATCCAAATGCTGGTCCTTGGATGAGGCATCTTGTCCTTGCTCATCCTTTGTCCCATTAACATGGATAGCTTGTTCCGCAGTGCCCTTCTCTTCGGCAGTTGGGGTTGTTTGGCCAGAGCCCTGGCTGTTGTTGTCGTTTCGGGCGCGTTCTGCGGCCTCTGCTGCGGAACGGAGGGAGTAGTTGCTGTCCTCGTCGTACTTAGCCCGCTGGTCACGGGAAGACAAGCTATTGTCTGACATGTTCTGGTAGTATTCCGTGATAGAGTACATGTCTTCGTCGTTCTCCTCCTGCTTAATGATCACGCTCGAGGAGTCATCATCATCGGTTTCCAATGAAGGAATAGGAACGTCAGGGTCATAATGGTCATAATGGCGAGGGCTGGAAGCAATTTGAGAGGATTCGTCAAAGCTATCGTCGTCGTCGTAGCTATCACCCTTGCGCATGTCTCTCAGGATTGAGTCACGCGAAATTCGGGGAGGTGAGAAGAAGGTCTCCTTCGGGTCTTCCTCTTCCTCGGCATCATCAGTTTTTGATGCAGGCTCCGGCGCTGTCACTAACTTCTTCTCAGTCTCCTCGACACTCTCTGCGTGGTCTTCATGGGTCTCATTTTTGTCTTCTTTCTCATGCAGCATCATAAGGCGGAGCCGATCCTCCAGGGACACGGAACCCCCGATGTCAGACTTGTTATACGAGGCAGCGGCCGGAGGTGCAGGAAGAACTCTTTGGCCGGCACTCCCCAGTTCGAATGCGGCACCTAACTTGCCAGGCGAAGAGGGTCGCGCACCCGACATGCGGTTGACTGATGGCAGAGGTGGGAGGGGGCGTCGCTCGCCATTAGAGTCCAACGATTCTACACGTTTGTGGTGGGATGAGTCTCTCTCACGGGAGACTGGTCGGTCCTCCGTGTTGCGGCCCTCAACATGCTCGGTAAACACATCACCCTCGTCATCTGTGCTAGGGCTCATGAAACGCCAATCCTCGGGCAGCACAACAGGAGTCTTCTCAATGTCCTCTAGCGAAGCGTCGAAACTATCGTCGCGCTCAATGGAAGACTCATGCTCGAAGCTGACGTCACCCTCCTCTTCCTCCGACTCATAACTATTTTCTCGGGATTCAGAAGCAACTGAGGATGGGTCAGGTGTCGTCATTTCATATTCGTTAATTTGAGGAGGAGCATGATCAAAGGTGACACTCTTGGCATGTCGATGGCCCGCGCTACCATACTCGGACCAGATATCATTTTGAGGATCAAATCCTTTGCCGTATCGGCTGCCCTTGGAGAGCGATGATTTGCTTGGCGATGCTTGGTCCTTGCTTGGGGAATGGGGTCGTGGGATATAGGAGTCATCTTCGTCATCGAACTGGGACTTGGCAACATTCATTTGGCTGTCGCGCTGCGGTGATCGCTCGCGTGCCAGTGGCCTCTGGGGAACAACGACCGAGGCTGGGTCGTACTCTGTGCCGCCTTCAAGCAACATGCTATGGTTCTTCACCTTGGAGACGCGCTTCAAATTCTCGAGCGACGGGCGCCGGGTCGGGAAATAAGATCCCTCTGGGTCGTAGGGCATTTTGTTTTCGGCCCCCTTGGAGAAAGGCGACGGGGACTCGCGGCCTTTCCAGAACAGACGCGGGGAGGCTTTGCTGTTGAGAGAGGAGACATCGTAGGCAGGCGATTCACCATTGGGCATCTATCATCATGGTTAGAATGCTGAAATACGCGACATCAATATCGCAAAGTACCTTGGTAACTTGGTTCCAGCTTGGCGAGTTGCGCCTCTGGGCCATGGGACTCACTTCGGAAAGCGGCCGCTGGCCAGATCCGTTACCCATACTGACAGTGGGGGGATATCAGAGTTGTGATCGTAATAGAATACCAAGACAGATGTCTATGATGCGTAAGTGCTTGCTCATTACGTCCAGATCGGTGAATGGGTTCGCGACTGATGACAAAGGACAAGGCAGGATCGCGCCAGGTCAGGTACCATACCTTTCTTAATAGATACCAGAAGTCGCGTGGGAATTGTTAGCCCTGGTGCATTCGCTGGTAAAGTGTAAAGTCGTGTCGATCGTAGCAGGAATGTTGCTTCAAAGGGCCAAAACAAACTCGTATGAGCGTCCACAAAGGTCAAGGGCAAAAAAGGGATAACGAAGGGATACAAACGTCAACTCAAAGAGCCAAAAGAGCCAGGGAATAGAGAAACAAAGAAAGAGGTGAAGAAGAGAAGCGAAACCTGATATGTTTGACTCTATTGAAGTGGATTGTTACCCCAAGCAAAGAGTGTTGTCGCGGCAGTCGCTGGGGCAACCGCTGGGCCCAAGCAAGCTGAAACCGCTGACTCATCTCGATTACGTCAGGGCAGCGATCTGCGCTAGTCCCAGACAGGGATAGCGCCATGGATCATCGCAAAAAAACATCTGAACAGGTTCTGGCCTCTCCGTCACGACTGAGTCTTTGGATTTTCGAGTTCATTGCTAGTGTTTCGAAACAATGCCTTTGCCAGTACCATCCTCGATATGTTTCGCATGCCAAACTAGAGCTACCCTCTTCCCATCGATCGTGTCGACATCATGGCAGATAACGCGAGGCATGGCCTCCGTTCGAGTGCGTCGCAAGGCTGCTCGTATGGCCCTATCTCCCAATGTCTCTAGGCAATCTATGCCTCCACCAGACAAGCCCCGTTCTTCAAGATCACGCGCCGGACCTTTTGCCTCAATGAATCAGACTGAAGCACGAGTTCGGGACACTCCACGAGCACGATCCCAGGCGGCCCTTAAACGTTCAGGGGAGGAGGGCAAGGTGGAAAAGAAGGACAGCCCACTGTATAAGGCTTTGAAGATGCAAACGATGCTGTCACCAATCAATTACGGCAAGCGTGCTGCCGTCAAGGCCAAGCTTGCCAGTCTCGACAGTTTCGACCACTTCCCTCTCCTCCCAGCAGTGCGACAATCGATCTTCCTTCAAGCTCTGCCTGGTCTCTCCGATATCCAGCCTACGCCCATCCAACGGCTCGCAATCCCCGAGCTCCTTAAAGAAGAGCCTAGGAAAAGGCGTCACGCAAAGAAGACAGATGAAGAAGAATACCCTTACGACCAGTACCTCTTGGCAGCGGAGACCGGCTCAGGCAAAACCCTTGCATACTTGCTCCCAGTCGTCGATGCTGTCAAGCGTGCTGAGGCTCGTGAGAAGGAGGAACACAAGGCCATTGAAGAGCAGAAGGCACGGGAGCGGGAGGAGAGAATGAAGAACAAGTCATTCGATCTGGAGCCCGAGGAGCCGCCTATGACGAATGCTGCTCGTCCCCGTGCCATCATTCTTGTCCCAACTTCTGAACTGGTTTCTCAGGTGGGAGCCAAACTCAAGGAATTGGCCCACTCAGTCAAGTACCGCTCCGGTGCCATCGCAGCAACCTTCACCCCTCGTCGGATTTCAAACGCCATCCTCCACCCAAACGGCATCGACATTCTTGTTTCAACCCCGCATCTCCTAGGCTCTATTGCGAAAACGAATCCCAATATCCTCAGCCGAGTCACTCACCTCGTTCTCGATGAAGCCGATTCTCTGATGGACAAGTCCTTCATCCCAACAACCACCGAGATCATCTCCAAGGTCACCCCGTCACTCAAGAAACTGATTCTTTGCTCGGCCACCATTCCCCGCAGTCTTGACAACCAGTTGCGCAAGCGCTACCCCGATATCAAACGACTGACGACTCCCAACCTCCACGCCATTCCTCGTCGCGTCCAGCTGGGTGTCGTAGACATAGACAAGGAGCCGTACCGCGGCAACCGAGACCTCGCTTGTGCCGATGTCATCTGGTCTATTGGAAAGGCAGGCGAGAGATCCGATCAAACGGAGACATGGGGGCCCCTCAACGCATACATGGACCCGAAGATCAAGAAGATCATCGTATTCGTCAACGAGCGCAAGGAAGCAGACGATGTCGCCAACTTCCTCCGAACAAAGGGTATCGATGCCGTCTCTCTGTCCCGTGACACCGACTCCCGAAAGCAAGAGGAAACCCTCGCCGAGTTCACCGAGGTGAAACTCCCCCAACCGCCGAGGAGATCATGCTCCAAAAGAAGAACGCCCGCGCCTCCAAGAGCATTCCCTTTGAGCTTCCTGAGCGCAAAGAGCCCATCCGCAAGCTTGCCGACACCAAGGTTCTCGTCACCACCGATATCGCCTCCCGTGGTATCGACACCCTAGCCGTCAAGACAGTAGTCCTCTACCATGTGCCCCACACAACCATCGACTTCATCCACAGACTGGGTCGTCTCGGCCGTATGGGCAAGCGTGGCCGTGGTGTCGTCTTGGTAGGCAAGAAGGACCGCAAGGACGTTGTCCGCGAAGTCCGAGAGGGTATGTACCGTGGACAGGCGCTGATCTAGATCCACATATACATATATGTCTATCTCATTGTATAAATTTTGTATCATACATGGCGTTAATTTGAGGTTTTGATTTTTGGGAACTGGAAAACGACTATACCCGTTGTCATTGTCATTTCAATAGTCATTGGATCATTGGAAGTCTGTACGATATGCAATCATATATAACGACCTAATTCATTCTCCTCTAGTCCATATTGAAACTTGATTCCAGTCGTAGACTCAGCAATAGGCGTCGTTTCTAGTCGTCTCTCACACAGGTACCTCCTTCGCCAGCTTTCGCCAGAAGTCACATCTCTTCTTCAATTGATCCAGCTTTACATTCTCAACACCATCATCCACAATAACAAATTCCTTTTTGGTGCTCTGTAGCTCCGGTACGCCAGGCTGCGAAGCGTTCGTCACCTTGTGGGCATTCGGATCACCAGTCTGGAAGAAACTCGCGAAAGCCCCAGCATAGCCTTCATACACGACGGGGTTTGTCTGCTGAACAGCATTGATACGATTCCACTAAGATCAATCAAGTCAGCCTGTGCATCCAAAACAAACACATATCCAAACAGAAACAGAAAGGAATAGGAACACACATAGATAGTATCACTCCCATGCGTCGCCGGCGAAATAGTATACTCCCCAAGATACCCATTTCTGCTAGCAGCCGAAGCAATCCAATAAGCCGGACAAGCCAGCACAACATCCCGATAAACCAACCCAGCCCTAACAAGGGAAGTATTATAACGCGTAATAGTCTCCGTACTCCCAACAGCTGGGTAATAAACAGACTCGACTTGTTTGATCTGTTTCGCCGATAACCCAGGTACAAATCCATTAAGCCAGCTTTGGAAACTTTCAATTGAGGAATTGAATCCATTCACTGAGACTGCACTGTCAAGACCTGGTGGTACGAAGTTCTGTCCCTCGTGGCTGTTGTACATACCCCAGACGAACTCCGTGTTCAGGGAGTCGCTATTGACAGCTTCTGTAAGCGTCTCGGTGAGGAAGGTCCCGTCTATCACTGGGGCCCAGGTGTAGGAGCTGGTTGTCCAAGTGTGGCTTGCGGCAATGACGAGGTTTGCGTCGCGGATTTTTTGCACGTCTACGGATTTGAGGCAGGAGATTGTTTCATGGTCATTTTTGAAGCCGGCACAGCCTGTCAGATTGACGAATTGGGTGTAAATTTCCTCTGCTTGCGGTGCATTGTAGGCATAAGTCTTCGGCCAGAAGGGTGAGCTAGCAAGGGCTTTGGAGAAAAGCTTCGGCTGGCCGTTTCGTCCATTTGCGAGGACTTGGGCAACGACCGAACCTGCACCAGCTGACTGGCCCCAGATTGTTACATTCTTGGGATCGCCGCCGAAATTGTGGATGTGGCTTTGCACCCATTTCAGGACGTATTGTTGGTCCAGTAGGCCCGGGTTTAGATCTGAAGTCGATGATTCCTTGATTGCTTTTCCGGGTAAGAAGCCAAAGGCATTGACGCGATAGTTTGAATAAATCACGACGTAGTCATTGAGATTGCTCACGTTGAGAATTGGGAATGAGGACGGTGGCATGGTGAAAGCGGCGCTGCCTTGGATGAAGGCTCCACCGTAGAATACGACCAGTACTGGTCTTTTTGTTTTCTTGGATAGATCCCATGGCCGTGAGAAGAGGCCTAGATACAGACAGTCTTCGCTTCCGTTGACTGTGCGCTGGGGGCACATGTCGAAGTCTTGGTTTGTGTCATAGCTGCCTCCGATGATCTTCTGTGGAGGTTGAGGCGCGCGGAAACGGTTCTCGCCTACTGGTGGTGAAGCAAATGGGATTTTGCGGAAATATGAGAGGTTGTATGTGCTATCATATTGGCCCTGGAAGGCTCCGTAGTCGAGATTCACTAGAGGATTGTCATATGCGGCGCTGGCGGTGGTACCCAGGCCGATGAGAGGGAGAATGAGCGACGATAGTCTCATTTTCAAGGTCTGCAGGCTCTGGTATTCTTGCTATTATTCCATGCCATCTGACGTCGGTTTTCTCCGGGCTGTAGGCCATATATAGTCTGTCTGGGCAAGGGGAAACAATCATCTCATTGGGCAAGAGAATCAAGTTCGGCAGAGAAAGCTCCGAAAGTCCCTGCATTCTTGTCAAGAAACCCCAGCCGTTTTCAAGCAGACGATGTCAAAAAGACAGTATGGGGACAGCTCATTGGTGCAGTTATTGTTCATGCTGCCCGAGGAGACGAAATGCGGGGGACAACAGTGGCCGTGTTCGTTCGGTATTGAACATCCCGATACATCTGCAGTACTGAATGACATAGATTATAGCTATTGAATAGTACATGTGGCATATATGTTCATAGTCAACGCCTCAACCGGAGTCCCATGCAAACAACGCTTAACCAACTTCCAATCCTGAAAATGCACCCTTAAAAGGAATCCAAACACCTAATTCAATCGCAGTCACGCTATATATAATACTCGGGGGAATTGTCTTCCCAAATGCCGTTCCTCGTGAACCAAAACTCCGTTTTGCTGTTCTTGTCGTGGATTCAATGCCTTCCTTTACATGGTCATGCGAAGTTCTCTAGTGCGACGCCGACTTGCCCGAGCATCGCGACGAGACTCGTTCATGTCGCTCGTCTCTGCTTCGGGGGTATTTGTATCAGACAGTTCTGGTGTTGGGGTAATTCCAAAACTGACACCCCGTCCTCGGCGACTGACGCGGGATTGTGCGTCAGGGGACAAGAAACGATGGACGGTGCGGTGATCCATAACTCGATCTTCGCCATCGGGGCTTTTGTCGGTGTATGGCCATTGGAATCCGTACAGCTTGGAATGACGCTCGCAGCGAGGGCATTCCCGTCGTGTCAGGTACGAGTTGGACTGAACGAACCAATTATCACAGGTCTGACACTCCACCCAGCGATCGTATCTCTGGGCAAGCAGTCTGGAGGTCTTAGTGTAGTCTCCGGGAACTCGGGCAATCTGCGATTCGGTCTCGACAGAGTCAACAATGAATCGACGCCTGCTCCACTTTTTCCGGGTTTTGGGTTTTTCGGCAGCCGAGGGTGTTTCATCTAGTTCAAGGGATTCCGATAAGTCTGGCTGTTCTTCCTTGGGGGATGTGTCCTTGGGAGGAGTCATGAGGGCGAGCTGACCTTCGGCTGAGGTTTCGGCATGATCTTTGCCGTTTAGTGTTGCGGATTCTGTCTGGTTTGACTCTCCGGTCTCCTCTGTCTTAATCTTCATTCCGACGTCATCCACGGTTGTCGCGGTGGTTGACGTTGACGAACGGTGAGACTCATCGGCGTTAGAGTCGGGAGATTCGCAATCTGCGTGAAGGGGACCCTGCGAATTCCGGGCCTGCCTTGTATCGCCTAAAGCAGACATATTTGGCTGTTCCGGTTCTGTGGCTAGTGGTGGGAGTGGTGAATCGATTGGTGTTGGCACTGGGGATAGGTCTGTGAGCTCGTGCCTCAATTTGGACGCCTGCGGTATGGCTCCTGTCAAAATAGGAGTTGGGGCGAGTTCAGTGTCTGGGGTAGTGACAAGGTCTGTCTCGGAGGTTGAGGCTGATTCACCAGCGAGCTCAGAAACGGAGATCTCTTTTCGCAATTTAGACACTTGTCGCTGAAACTTGGCTCGCTTTCGCGGAGTAGAGCAAGACACGATCGAAGAAGTATCGGAGTCCACTTCAGAGCTGCGCCGGCGTTTCCTGCTCCCCGTACTGTCTTCGACCGGAGTGGCTTCAGTCGACACGGGACTTGATTCTTTGCTGTTCTGGTCCGAATCAGCTTGGGGAGACCAGCCATTGCGAACAGCCCGTTCGCAGGTGAAGCACAGACATTCGCAGTTATCAATGCCGAAATAATCCTCTCCGTAAGAAACCGTGATCTCTTCTCCCTCGTAGATGTCGCGCATGGCCAGAACAGACATGCCTTCATTTCCACGCGTTGCCAGGCTCCCGTTTGCATCACAGTCGTGATTGGCAAAGCGGGCTGGGCCCAAGAAGAAAGACGGGGTCTTACGCCGACTCGACATCACGATGCTGAAGTCTTTGCGGGTCAGTCCAAGATCCATCTCCTCTTCACGGGTCATAGACACGAGTGTTCCACTCAGGTATTTGATCTCTTCGCCCTTTTTGATGAACCTGCGGGCACAAATCGCGGCTTCATGTTGCGTGATAATGTATCGGTTGGTGGTGGTGACCTCGAACGGGCAGTCTGGGAGATACATCTGGATGTATTTGCGGAGATGTCGACGAAACCATTCTTTTTCGCGGGGACTGTGGAGATTTGTCAGGTATTTCTTAAGTCCTGATATCTCCAGCAGCTCGCGCTCGGCACTTGTGATATCTCTATCGACAATAACATCGTGGAGAAGAATGCGCCCAATATCGTCGTCGTGGATACCGCGGGCAGGATTGTACTTGGTGCGATTCTTGCGTGTAGTGGTCCAAAAGTAAGCCTATGAGAGGCTTGCGTCAGTCAACAAAGTTCTTCATTGCATTGTGGGCAAAGGGCGTACGTGATCCACCAGCGCATCTGTTGCGACATCGTCATAGCTGGCCAGTTTGGCCAGGGTCAAGCGCTCGCGACGTTCAGCCGCTGGCGAGCTGTTACGCGCTCTCTTTGGAGGCATAATTGGCGTAACAAAGAAAGGGAAACCGCTAAAAACCAAAGCGGCAGAAAGGAAGTGGTATCATGGAATGCAGAACGTGTGCAAAGGGCGGTTGAACAGCGGAGGCCAGCGGAGACCTGCCGAAGATCCAAGAAAGGGAGAAAGGGTTCGGGGAATGCTGTCAGATTCAAAACGAGGATGATAAAAATGAGTGACTGAAGGAAATTAGAGTGAAGTTGTTGCCATTGAGTCCAAGGGAAGAGGCGCTCTCGCGATGAGGCTTAGTTTTAGGGGCGGAACCAACACTCGGTAGTGAGACCTGGCCGCCTTTCCCTTGCCCTTCCCCTCCGGTTTTGTGACAATAGGTCAACAAGGTTAACGATATATATGCTTTATTAAGTCCCTTGCCTTGGCTGCCTGCAATTATGCGCTCAAGCTACATTGTACCTGTATGCACGGAGCGTCGCGCCTCTATGCTGCATCGCGCGAATCTTCGGGGCGCTGACTCCAACTATCTTCTTAATGATAACCCATTCTTGTATTTGGTTGATATTAGACGGAGCTATGTCCTATTAAGATGCAAATTCCATATACCACACCTAAGAAAAATTAATGGGAAGCTCTCGGTATTAAGTCTGCCATTCCTTCGTGCCGAACATATAGTCCGCAGTGTACTTTCGACCGACGTCAGAGCAAAAGCCATATAAAACCACTTACTCACTGACGTGGCTTGAAGATGCATTTGTACAAAGGGGACTAATTACGCAAAAGAAAACAGCAGGTCTCATAGGTCTGCGAGTAAAATGAAGAATAAGGCATGCTATAAGTTATAGGCCGTGAGTCCTTTCACACTGGCACCTTTATATGATCTGTATGATTGACCCGAGGCACTCAAACATGGGCGAAAAAAAGAGGTGAAAAAAGAGGAGCCGAAATACCATGAAAGCAATGCATGAAATGGCATACTCGCTTCGACGCTCTCATCTCCGTGGCACTGTGTACACATTTATGACCCCTGTTGTAGGATGCTTATCAGCAAGATCGTTTTACCCAGGCTACTTTGGCCAGTTACATATCAAATATTACATTCTTCCCTGAATGCGCAAAGTAGAAGACTAAACAACCCAATGATTGAATAAAAGCAGCACTAACGTTAGACGTAGCAACTTGGATTTGTATAGAGTCAGACAGGCTCGGATAAACTTACTGTCCGGGGAAACCTCCCTCCGCCCGCGAGAACAAAATTGTGGACGAAGCAACAACGACAGATCAAGCAACCACAATGATTCAACTAAAAGTACGGACCTATACCTCTCAATTGAGAATATGAAACTAACAGACTGCATGCTAGACACTATTAAATTGCATTGACAACTCCGGCGCCTCGATCGTCGAGTGCGTGAACGTCCTCAAGAAGAAGCGGCCCGCGACAATCGGTCAGTCTCCGCGACACTCGATCCAGCATAGAATACAGAAGAAATGGACAGAAAAGCTAACATCAATGGTGCATTAGGTGATCGGATAGTCGTCGTCGTCCAGAAGCAAAGATCCGCAGGTTCCGAAGCCACCACCGCCGCTGCGCTTGCGAACAAGGTCCGCCGTGGTGATATTCGACATGCCGTTGTTGTTCGCGTGAAGAAGGAATTGCAGCGCCCTGATGGTTCCCTCGTCCGATTCGGTGATAATGCTTGTGTGTTGGTCAACAAGTCCGGAGACCCCATTGGGACAAGAATGAACGGTTAGTGTTTCTGGGAGTTTAGGACTAAGCCCATGTCTACATTCTGGATACTGACGTTTATACAGGAGTCGTCGGTCAGGAGCTACGGAACAAGAAGTGGTCCAAGATCTTGTCATTGGCACCCGTGCATGTGTAAGATCTACACGAGTTTCTAATTTGTTGGAGAGCGCTGTATCCTTTTTTCTTTGGCAGAATGTTTCATTTCAATTCTATGTATCAATAGCAACCCGCATCATACCAAAGCCCCGTTCGAAGTCAGTATATGCTTTTTAGATTGCCGATCGCCAAACTCCTGTATGCATCTTCACTCGAAAAAAAATCGTAGAAATAAAAAACTAATAAAGGGTATCGGGGATCGCGTAGACCGTATCGTAAGAGGATATCACATGTAGACATTACCGCATGCACAACAGACGTAGTAGAGTTTCTGAGCGAGAGTAGTGACATGGTCAGCGTATAGTCTCCTTGGATATCAGAGCAGGATGGGGTCTCACCATTCCGGTTTCAGCAGATCGTTGTTGGGACTGGAAGAAAACGGCTTCGGTTTCACCGCAGCTCGGGCAAAGCTTGTTGGCACGAGGAAGCTGTAATCGAGGGAAAATCGTACGTTAGCCACTGAACGCCCAGTAATTATCAGAGTAGTCGGCGCTGAGCCAGGAGTCGGTATCCGAGGAGTTCAAGCTGTCGGTGTCGTCCGCAACACGCGCCTCATTAGGGTCGGGGTCGCAGCCAGAACATGTGATTTCCTCGCCGCATAGGGTACAGAAACCAGGGAGACAAACCGTGGGATCGGAGCCAACATCCTGGGTGACACCGGCAGTATCGCCGACTTGGCTGTGCAGCTTGTTCTGGTAGACGCAGTAAGAGGAAGCGGGCTCGCCGACATGGCAGGTTCGGCAGGTGAACATCAGCTGGTTGGTCACGCGGTCTTCCTTGGGGTACAACAAGTTGGAGCTGTGGAGATTATTAATGAGTTTCCTTTCAGACGCGCTACGTGAGATGTAGCTCAGAAAAACATACCATTCGCGACAGAACTTGAAATGGATCTGGTCGGCTTGCTTGGTCTCGCCACCGGCGGAGGGCGAAGGGCTGGACATCTTAGAACAAGAGGTTTTCAGAATCAGGTTGAAGCTTAGAGATAGAGGGTCACGGGGGGGATGAGTGAACAGAATGTAACCGAAATGCAGCAAGACCTAGAGTGATATAAAAGACTGTCAACTCGTCGGCGTCGATTGGCCGAGATACGCTAACCTTATTTGGGAATAGGCTCAGCTGCCGCAGTCAATTATTAATCCGGCAGAATCGGATCTATTCATTGTATTGAGAGAAGGTTGCTTATAGCATTCAAATCTGATATTTAGTATTCATTCCGGTATATATTTTATTTAAGGTATGCTTTATGATCTAGGCGGCCTCTTCTTAAAGGCCAAAAGTCTAGATACTTCGGCCTTGTAAGTTGGCGGAGACGAAGGCGGTAGCACATTACAGTTAAAAAGAGCTTAGCGCGTGATTAGTTTGCCCAGTTTGCACTTGTGCATCATATCCCCCGCAGTTTCCTACAGTAGCTCACTCCGCGCAAGCTTCAATACAAACACTTCTCCCCTATAGAACCCGTTTTCCACAATGGTGCGGCTGTTTGATTGTTTTTCCCTGAATACACAGCTGACTGTATATATAGGCCGACACAGGACTTCCAGCAGGATGGGAAGTTCGCCATTCGAACTCCAAGAACCTCCCCTATTACTTCAACCCCTCCACAAAGGAATCTCGCTGGGAACCACCTTCTGAGACAGATACTGAGAAGCTGAAAGTCTACATGGCGCAAAACCACACCCCCGTGTCGCGCCCTGATGCCTCAGGCGAAGGCGAGGGCAAGATTCGCTGCAGCCACTTGCTCGTCAAGCACCGCGACAGCCGTCGCCCCAGCAGCTGGAAGGAGGCAGAAATTACCCGCACGAAGGAGGAGGCAATTGAGATCCTGAAGGCCCATGAGCAGCGAATCCAGTCCAGTGAGACCAGCCTTGGCGACCTTGCAGTCTCCGAGTCCGACTGCAGCAGTGCTCGCAAGAAGGGAGACCTGTGAGTGTTTACGTGTGCCCTCGTTATCATTCCTGCTACTAACGACCTGAAGTGGCTTCTTTGGCCGCGGCGAGATGCAGAAGGAGTTCGAAGATGCCGCTTTCGCCTTGCAGCCTGGCCAGGTCAGCGGTATCGTGGAGACAGCTTCTGGAGTGCACCTCATCGAACGGTATGCTTTGTATTTGAATCCACACTGTACGACTATCTGGGAACTAATCTATGACTTCACAGTGTCCAATAAACCCGCTCCTCTGCTCATTCCTCGATTTAGTTTGTGGGCAGACGAAAAATTTCTAATCGCATCTATGCCCTGATGACCCTTGGTCGCACGTCTTGGGAAAAATTTTGAACAGAAAATAAACTACGAAAATGAAATTACGTCCTTGTCCCTCTTTGTTTACCGAAGATGCCTTTTTCGGATAGGAACTATTAAACAGCAACGTCACAATGGTCCTTGTGGAGAACAGCTGTTGTGTCTTCAAGAAGAGCAAGTCAATAAAGAATAATAGCAGGATCGCTGAGGTATTGGACTCAACATGTAACTGTAAGGCTCCACACTTTGCAATCATGTATTCATCGGAATTGGTACATGGGCTGAATCACAATACAATGAATGACCCTGATAATAATTGTGGACTATTTTTTCCGGAGCCAGCTTTCATAAAGCCATTTCTCTTTTGAGCACTGTATATCTCAACAAAGGCATATTCCAGGCGCGGTATAAATCAAGTGTTTCTCCGACGCCTTGAGACAACCGGAAACAATACGACACAGACATAAGACATAAGTTCTTTCACACTCCTACCATTTTTAAACAACAACAAACCAAGGCACATGAAAATGGACAAAGAAATGGTGAGAAAAGCGAGGCTAAAGTAGGACGAAAACAATGAATGAAACGGTATAGGTTACTTCTTCAAGACTTTCGTGTAGAGACCAATACTCTATCAATAGCACTGTAAACACATTCATGACCCCCTGTTGTAATACAATAGAACAAGGGCTTGTTTATTGGTCAAGTGCGGTAACAATAGGGGAACAATAGAAGAACAATGCTATTCAGGTACTGAGACTATATGAGCATATCGAGGTTGGAATTCCTAAAGGGGACGACAGTCAATTAAGATTCCCTTTTGGGACCCTAAATTTACCAGCAACATCGTTTTATGACTCTTATGACATCCCAGTGTCCTTTCTTTATCTTCATATTTTCAACTCCCTGCTTGCTTGTGTTCTTCTGATCTACATCAAACATCCCGTTGAACCCATGTCTCCTGACTTCGAGACCCTTAGAAACAAGCGCTTCATCATGCTCAGTTTCAACAGTAACAAGTCGATCCTCGACTACCAGTTCAACGAACTGGACTTTGCTCTGCCCCCTTGGCTTCAGGCCCCTCCCGAGGTGCGCAATGCGCTCGCCAACCTCCGCACCAACGTCCTGGTCACCATCACCCTGATGAAGCAACTCATGATCATCCGCAACAACCGCTTTTTCGAGACCTGCCCCACCAAATCCGGCCTCATGTATCAGCTGCACGTCAGCTCCGTCAAGCGCCTTCTCGAGTGGAAGGAGAACTGGAACCAGGTCGACCCCACCCTCTCTGTCTCGGTCAAAATCCCCCGCGAGGCTCTACGCTTCTGTGTCGACGAGTTTGCCTACGCTAGATTCACCGCCGAATACACCAGCCAGGTCCACATCTTGATGTCGGGAGCCTTTCAGCAATGGCGTGCAGCACGCCATGCTACCGATTTCCTCGCCTGCCGCCTTATGAATGCCCACGAGCAAGAGTACCGCGAGTGGCGCAAGTGGTTTGATGGCGAGTTCACTACACACATGTGGGAATGGGAGACCTGCCTGAAGAACCTGATTTTGCCCAACTGGGAGGAGGTTATTGATGATCTCTTTTTGATGATCAATGATCGCGTGGAGGACGCCGAAGAACTTGCCGACACCTTCTACATCCGCGGTCCTCCTTCCCCACATCTTTGATGGCAATTTCCAACGATAACTTCTTTTATCCATGAAGCACACATGGTTCATGGCTCACGAATCTGACGGAAATAGAGTTACTAGTCCGGGAATTTTACCATCAGTTCGACTGGCTAGGTGCGCATGGACACAGGCACACACAAATGAAGGTTCTGGGATAGGAATGCCGTTGTATCCATACAGTCTTGATTATTTTTTTTGTTTCTATTTTCCTTTGTTCTCTTTTTGATTTCTGTTATGGGAAAGTAACCTTGATAGCATTTATGGAGAGTCAGGACTCAGTGTTTCACCAATCTGATTTGAAATAAACAAACATAAACGACTTTCCATTTACCTCTATGTGCCACTTATTTTAAGCCAGCGAATCAAATTTACTCATAATAGCAGACTTCCTGTCCGTCTATTCAACATACATTTTGCACCGTCAACGGAAATGTGCAATTATTAGGATACCTCCCCAGGTCACGTGCGTCGACAACCCTAGTTCGGATGATCCAGAAACAAAGGTGGCTCTACTTTATCATTGTTCACAACACTCAAGAGGAAGAAGGGGGAAAAAATGAAAATGCCACAGCCTGCAAGGAGTCATTGTGCTATTGGTGGAGCCGTCTCAGCTCCTTTTCACTGTCTTGCAATATTCCACCTTCCCTTTCATCAGCCCGAACGTCCCAATGAATGAGAGCTACGAATGTTTTTTGAATCCCCGCCTGGAAGTACACCCACGAAGGAATAGAGGCTTCTGTAATCTAACCCTGAAGCATCTTAATTCTAACTGGAAGATCTAGTGCGAACCAGCTACCGTACTAATTCAGCAGAAATACCTTAAACCAATCTACCCACCCCAATGTGCATCTTCTGGGCGCGCAAATACACAATATGCGGCTCTATCTGGGACGAAGGCCAATCAAAATGCTCAGGCCAACGAATGATCAGGCTATACAACCACATTGCACCATGCGCAGATTGCTGGAAAAGAGGCGGCAGGCGGCAAGCCAATCAAGAACGTCACCGAGCTGACCGAAGAGAACAGAAAGGAATAAATGCTAAAGATGGCAAATTACATTTTAGAACCAGAGGTAAAAATGGACAGGATAAAGGCGAAGAACTTGCATTGCCAGTTTCACCAAAACAACCTGCTACACCACACTTGAACAAAGATTTGGATCCGGATTGGGTACATCGGTGGCTTTTGAGTGAAGAGAATAACTTTGATTGCTCTAGAGTTTGTGACCCGGTTAAGTTGGGGTCGGTGGGGAAGGATTATCGGGCTGTGCGTGTCAGGATTGGTACGCTGTTGAAGGTGAGTTTGGATTGTTCTTTTTTTTTTGTCTTGCGGATTTGATGTGATGATACTGATTGCTTACATTTTATATAGATTCGTACGGACATTGCGCCGATCCTGTGCATAATAACGGGCCTGCTGCGGTAGAGGAAGAGGAAGAAAGTGATGTGTACACTAACATATGCCGAATGGCTTGACAGACATAGCCTTTCTTTGTACGCAAATTGTGTCGGGCTGCGACGATGGAGGTTTACCGGTAAATTATGACTTTTTCCATCTATATGATAGGACAGAGATGATGGAATAAAATACTTTGTTAAACTAGACTTACAACATGACTCGAACAGAAAAGGGGATGAAAACTATATTTTGAGACTAACACAGCCCAATGTGAAGTTGAACCCATTTCAGAGAAGATAATCCAACAGGAATATTCCATGAGATGCAGGGGAATTTTAACCCTTTCCATAAACACAACGTCGGGAAGTTCAGAGACTTGTGTTGAGTCGTTCCAAGCGTGCGGTAATCGCATCAATAACAGCAGACCTAGGAAATGATTAGGTATAGATTCAGTCATACACGTGAAGAGAAACTTACTCTCGTTCAACCATTCTCATAGCATCCGCAACCTTGGCACGTTGCAGGCGTTGCGGGACCTTTGGGTGAGCGCCACCTGGAGAGCTTGGACTTCCAGGCTCGGCAGGAGATGGCGACTTGGCAGCAATAGTCTTGGTTTGGGCAATGAGGTCGTGAGCAAGGCGTTTGACCTAAATAAAAAATGTGAGCTAGTGTGACCGGAAAGAACATGGGAGCAAAACTTACAGTTTCCAAGCGTGGGACCAGATTTTGATCATCATCCTGATCTTCAGTCTGACTAGGCTGCAAGGAACCGGATAAAGCTTTGACCTCGGTAACCCAGGCCTTCTCCCTTTCACTTAGGGGGCGGCCTCCAGAGTTCAAAACCTTCTTGCGCAATGCTTCATATCGGCGCTGCAATTCATCCTGCTTCTCCTTGGCGGCTTGCAATCTCTTGTCGAGAGCTTCCCCGTTCGGACGCCCTCTGTGCGGTGTCCATCTTCGCCAATCTCGCTCGTCACGCCCTTGACCCGCTCTGCAACATCCGAAATTTGCTTCAATTGATCTTGCATCTCACCTTGTAGGCGTTCGCATCGGCGGAAAAGATCCGAGGCAGCCCTCTCGAGGGCATTTGTATGTGCGGATAGAACGCGGTGAGCAGTAGCCACAAGGTCCAATGTTGCAGGAGACAGGCGTACTTGTTCCTTGAGTGTGTGGCGCTGGCGATGCGGGACGTGCTTTTCAACGAACGAATCCAGCGGGCAATCAGAATAGAAAATGGCGGGAACTTGATATGGAGCGCGGCGAGGGGGCATAGCTGCTGAGCTTGCCGTTGGTGCCTTCTTCTCATAAAGCCGGCTTTCAAGTGCCGCGGCGATGGCATCTTCTGGCGAATCCATTACTGCTGCATATGGGTTCGATGGAAGCGAAGTGAGAAGCAGGTAGCCAATGTCAAAGTCATAAAAGACAAGAGACGCGGCGAGGTGTTCGTTTTTCGAAGTGATATCGGCTTCTGAGACCTGCAAGATCTTTTCTCTCTGGCAGACATTTCCGTCGCAAAGAACCTGCAGACGGAAAGCAGAACCAGCAGAATCTTCCGCTTGTAATTCGGCTTCCAGTCTCTGCGTCCATGCGGTCAAAGATAGAGAAACTACATTGGTTGCAGTCGTGACAAAGAAGGAGTACCGAGAGTGAATATCCTTGGTAAAAGTGGGCCATGTAGTCGCTTCTCCCGTCTTAACAGTATCCAGGGATTCGACCAGGACAAGATCAGATGGCTCTGAAAGAGGTGTACGGAAGGCGTTCTTTTGGGCCTTGGGCAGCCACTGTCCCTCGACACCATCAAGTTCCAGACATACGTGGACTCGGCCATTTCCACTAGACAGAGAGAGAACAGTGGCCGAGAGCTTATCCTGTTCACTGACGTCAACGGCCAGTTCTTCCTCTTCGCCCATCATGAGATCATCAACATTCAATCTAGCAGCAATGACGAGAAGATCACAAAGGTCTAGGTCGTCCAGCTCATCACCTGTATCGAATCGGAAAGGCCCTTGCAATCTGGGAATAGCACTGGGATTGGCGGGGCGAGTGAAAATTTCCGCGCCCTGGAGGGTTTCAGCTCCAGCGGGCAGACCTAAAGGCTCTTGGTCATCGAGCTCGCTGAGCCAATCATACTGTTGTCGACACGCAGTCAATTCCTCGTCGAATTCCTCGGGATCTTGCTCTAGAGCAGCTAACTTCGGAACAATCGCGGAAGAGAGGGAAGGGATGGTTGTCGAAGGAGCCTGCCACTTGGAAGGCAGAAGAGGACACAGCGCATAGAGATCTCCGGGTCTCATGGCCACCCACAGAGTCATAGGTGCCCATGCATCCTCTTTTTCTTCTCCGCTGCCCGCGAAACAGGCCGAGGCGACTTCCATGTCAATGAGATCCGCTGAAAATCCCTTGTTCTTACCGAATCCGGAAGGCGCAAAGTCTTGATCAGACGAGGTTCCATCGACAAGCTTTTTCAAATCGATTGCCAGAGTTGGCTGGTCAAAGGACCAGTGATTATTGCGGTCCAATTCCCACACGCGCACCGCGGCGTCAGCGGTGATGGTTACAATGCAACCGCTGAGGTTGCTGTGCAAACCTAAGGGATGCCATAGCGCGGACACGACCGGCGCCTCGGGAATAACATGGGTCGTCGGGCCTAACTGGTATGTTTTCAGCCGAAGGGGTGTAGAGTCGGAGGACGACAGGTGCGAAGAGTCGGGGAGGACGGAGATGTGAACGGTGTGTTCAGTGATAATTGCAAGGAAGGCTCCGTTTGGGGAGGGAATGATTTGCTTGATCAATCCATATACAGGGACTGCCAAAACCTGCGCAAATGTTAGTCGCGATTGATCACAACATAATTGTGGAGTCACCGAAAGTTGTCGGAGTCAAGACGTACCCTGTAGGATGGTAGCTTTGCATCGGTGGTATTTCCGACCTCAGCAGATCCCTTCTTCTGCTTGGTTTGTTGTTGCCATTGATCTTTGAGGCGCGCAAGGTTTGACCACCGGATCTCATTATCAACCACAGCGAACACCTCATTTCCTCTTCTAGCAATTGTCCGGTTTGGTCCGTTGCTAGAGGGTTTCGATGTCTTGTTGATGTCCTCCGCTGGGCTCTGAGAGGACTTGCTGGTCAAGAAGCTTGCACCAGGCGAGGGCCGGCACAGCCAGGCTGGCGCATAGCTGTTGACCTTTGGCATCGGAAATAGATTAGGAAGAAACGTTATGGCCTGTAATGCCAAGGCGATCAGATCAGAACATTACAGGTCGTAAAAATGCGAAGAAGTTGGAGGCGGCGAGGGGCGTAGGCAGATGAAAGAGTTGTTGATGCGGAGTGGAATTCTTGCCGCGCCAAGATCTTCTGAGAGCTCCGAGCTTCTTTGCTCCGACCTCCCGTCAACCTTCCTCCTCCTTCTCTACTCAGTTTTCATTACATTTTCGTGATGAGTTTGCTATCTATCAACACAGTGGACCGCCTGGATAGGCCAAGTGCCTACTATGTTAGTAAGGTTGGTTACTACCCTTCCAAGGTTGCGCTCTACCAAGCAACCAGAACAGCTCGAGTCGCTAAACGACATTCAGAACAAGCGTCGCAGATTTAATGACCGCGACGAGGAGAAGCCCGAGGATCCCGACGACAAGTTGAAGAATGCGACTACTCTCTACGTGGGAAACCTGTATGCATGCATCCTACAATCTTGAAGCATCGGCCGCCATTGACCAATTTCAGTTCCTTCTATACCACCGAGGAACAGATCCATGAGCTCTTTTCGAAGTGAGTATGCGCACGCCTTGTCGATGACGATCCAGATCTAATTTTGACTTCTAGGTGCGGTGAAATCAAGCGTCTAGTGATGGGCCTGGACCGATTCAACAAGACACCCTGCGGATTCTGCTTCGTCGAATACTACACACACCAGGATGCGCTGGACTGCTTGAAATATATCGGTGGAACCAAGCTGGATGAGCGAATCATTCGCGCAGATCTCGACCCTGGATTTGAGGAAGGACGGCAATTCGGGTATGTGGTCTTCAAGGTGCGGTTTATGGACTGGGAATGACTGACTCTTTTGGTAGACGCGGCAAGTCAGGTGGACAAGTGCGCGACGAATACCGCGAGGAATACGACCCGGGCCGTGGTGGATATGGTCGCGCCTATGACGAGCAGCGCCAGCGCGAGGAAGATGAATACGGCGCCGGGAGGTAGGTCAGGGCATAATGAAACAGTACTGGCACAACCAAGCAATGGCGTTATCCCACTTCAGGTGAATCAATTAGCAAAAACAGGAAATGTCTATTCACCAAAATACCCTATTTACAATTGTCTCTTGATCTACTGTCTCATCTATTGTCCCAACTTCTTTCGTTTCAGCACAGCCGATTGCACCTGGCGCAGCCACCATGCATGGATTCTTGCGTCGCCAGTCAACTCCGGATGGAAGCTGGTGCCGAACACATTGCCCTGTCGCACTGCAACAATATCGCCAACTTCCTCGTCCTGGTTGATGTCTCGGCTCTCTGTTGCGTTGCGAGCTGCAGGGCCCAACAATGTGGCGAGTACCTCGACGTGGTCGGCTGTCGCTGCTTCCGCCACCGAGTCGCGTGCCTGCCGAGATGGTGCCACGACAGTCTCGTCGAGCCGAGTCTCATCTTCCTGGATGCCCTCGCGGTGCGGCAGAATCTTTTCGACAATCGGTGCCCGAATGAAGACAGCCGGGAACGGCGCGGCGCCCTCTCCCAAGAATGGCAGGTCCAATGGTCCTTGGAAGCTTTCTGTCTGTCGCCCAAAGTGATTCCGGTTCACTCTTACGTCGAGGCCACCGATCAGATCTTGTCCACCCCTCTTTGTCTTGTTGGCCGACTCGGCGAGCAGAATGAGGCCGGCACAAGTACCCCACGTTGGTTTGCGATCCACCCTGTATACCGAACGCATTAGATCCGATTGGCGTAAATTTGCGGAGGGTACCTACTTCACAAAGTCTCTTAATGGCTCCAGAAGATTTGATCTTGCTGCGACTAAAGACATGGTGGTGCTTTCACCCCCGGGCAAGACCAGTCCATCGCATGTTGACAGCTCTTGTGGCGTTCGTACTTCGATGAACTGCCATTCTGAAGGAGGAGCTTGGTCGGCGGCTTTCTTCAGTAGCTGTATATGTTCGTAGAATGCGCCTTGCAAGGCAAGGACTCCAACGGTAATTGTCATTGTATGTGAATTCGCAAGTTCTAGATTTCCTTTGCTCGAATGTGATGACTCTTGAGGCACGTGATTTTGACTTTCCGACGGGAAATTTATCGCCACGTGACGTATCAAGATTCACTGCCACAATATAGAGTATTCTGCCAGACAAATACATTGTGATTGTTTTAACTATTATGGACGCGTAAATGGAACCGATGGAGATGAAGTAGACTCGGAAAGCTGCATACATTCAGTACTAGCTTATTGAACGGTTTTTATTGCCCAATTGTGTTGTTGATGAATATAATAGTAAAGTGGTGTATGTACATGTCCTTAAAGGAAGAAATGCGTTTCCTCCACGCCAAAATTTTGCTTTTTTGCACTGTCTGAAGCACCACTCCCTCCTTCCATATCTGCCTTACACATCCATATTCCCACAGACCCGTCCTCTACGCCTTCACAGTCCCTTCTTCGCCATCACCGCCTGCCGATTACAGACCCTTATCAACACGTGCGACGATAAGATCGATAAGGATGTGGCGCGGGGTTCCCTCGACGGTCGAGGGACATATGCGGCCTCAGGATTATGATCGTCTCTTGCAGATGGCCTATCCGGCAGCTGTGAGTGTTCAACAGCTTGCTGGTTGCATGAAAACCTCTTAACTAACTCAATAGACCAAAATGGTAACAAACAACATTCGACAGGAGGACGTCTCTAAGCCTCTCAATTCGGACAAAGGCGACAGCTCTCTCACATCCCAGCCAACTTTGGTGCGATGGTACATTGACACTCGGCGCTGGGATGACATGGCCCTTAACCTTCCTTTACTCCAGACTCTGTCTCGAGCCGACCAAAACTCCATCATGAAGTACCACCACTTGTCGGATAAGCGCATGTCCCTGGCGTCTCAGCTACTGAAGTACTTCTTTGTCCACCAGGCCACTGGCAAATCCTGGAATGAGATCATTATCCGCCGTACTCCTGTTCCCGAGAACCGTCCATACTACGACTCAAGCGTGGATTTCAATGTCAGTCATCAGGCATCTCTGACGCTCCTTGCAGGGACCCTTGCCCCAGAGAGCAATGCCCAGACTAGCTCCTATCCGCCCCGGGTTGGAATTGATGTTGCCTGTGTTGATGAACCTAGTCGTCGTCGTTCTGACCGACCTCCCAAGACCCTTGCAGCTCTGGCGTCTTTTGTGGATATCTTCACCGAGGTTCTCTCCGCCCGTGAATTGGAAACCATCAAGAACCCCCGTGCAACTCTTGAACTAGCTCGTCGGCGCGGTATCAATACAAGCGATGCAAAGAATGACACCGAGGAAAGCCTGGCTCTCTACGGTATGCGCCTCTTCTATTCGGTCTGGGCTCTGAAGGAGGCATACTTAAAGATGACCGGAGACGGCCTTCTAGCCAATTGGGTACGTGAGTTACAGTTCTCAAACGTCATCGCCCCAGAGCCTGTGTCCAAGCGTGGTGTTACCGAATACCCCCTGTGCGAGCCCAATCCCGTTGATCAGACTACCTTCATTGCTCCATCCGTCCAGAACTGGGGTGCGCCATACACGGATATCCACATTACGCTAAAGGGTAACCCCGTTAACCATGTGCGCGTTCAACTCTCCGCCTTCGAGTCGGACTTTATCGTGGCCACTGCCGCCGCCGGGTCCAACATCGGTACCGTTTCCAAACAAGTTCAGAATGACGGCGATCACCACTTGCCAGGATACTATGAGCTATCCGATCAACATGGGCCAAAGGATATGCGAATTGCGCCCTCTGCACTTCGAAAAGTCGGCGAGCGGGATCCCTGGCGCGTGCAGTCTGCAATCAGGGACCCCTGGCTCCCCATGCAAGAAGTAGACATTGACCTCGACATTCGCCCCTGCGCCGAGGGCCGCTGTGTTCACTTCCAACCCCCACAATCAATCTTTGCGTACGCTACCACAAACATTTATATCCTCGGGTCAAGACCAATAACTAATATTTTAGTACTAGACACAAGCCCACCCCATCGGTGGATTCAACGGGTTCTCCGGATCTGAACTACTGTTGAGATATGACTGGTTCTTATCTTATGCATCTCCCAGCATCTTGCATATTTGATATCTGAGTGGTTTTTCAGCGTAATGATTCCCCTAGGCATACACGCATCTTCTGTCGGAATTACATGGCCATGCTGGATGGCAACTTTGTATCAATAAATTCCGTGATCACCAAGGCAGAAATCCCATGTTTTTATTTCGGTTTCATGCTCACTATCACGCATTACGTATACCAGAAAGGTGATGGCAATGATAAATCCTGCCACACTTACCGTTCGTGCGCCTTGCTATAATGATCAAGATATTAGATGGCGATGGATCAAATGCTAGCTCTGCTTCCTAGCCAAGCTGATCCTGTGGTAGTATTCGACTATAAAGAGACCACTACAGCCAAAACAGACGTCACATCCTCCCGTGCATCCTTTATGCTCCACATCCTCAATTCTACCAAGGTTTGACTGTCTCGGTGCATTGTAGAACAGAATTGTTTTCCTCTCGTGAGAAGGTATTGCGTCGGACAGGAATTAAGATCGTCCTCTTTTATGCAGAAACTACGCTCTGCGACATGGTGTATTTATGACACTCCCTTTCAGGATTGAACATTATATCCACCATTGGTTAATATTTCCGCCAGCTCCGAGTTGATTTAATGCGTATTATGCGTTCTTGCTTCGCTGTCACAGGTAAGAATTAACCGTCATCGTTAAGGCTACGGTCAGATAGTGGCCTTGACGCATGCTGTAGTTCCAATAAACGGGTCCGTTATTTGACTCTAAAATGTCATCTGACCACGATAGGCTGCTATATTGATGGATGCTGGGTGAATCAGATGTCGATGAGATAATTCCGATCAGCAACACAATTTACCCCATTTGGCCAGCGCAGAAACGGGGCGTTTGCGGGATTTCCACAGCCCGCTCAGGGGAGATCTACGCAGTGATGAATTACTCTATTTTTTGATCATATTTGGAGTAATGCTGTGATCGTCAAGCAGAATAACGAATCACAAACTCGGTTCGACCCCCGAGCTTATTTGTCCGAATATGGGCCGATGATTCCGGACTTTATATACTTGGCTAGTCTTGGAGCTCGGAGGCCACAGCCTCTCTCGGGTCCTCGCCAAGAATGCCATGATTAATGTTAGTCATTGAATGAGGCTTTTTTTGGTTGGATGATTATGGGGCACGTATGATGTAGACAATCGTAGAACTGAATATTTCGTGTTAAATGTGAGGAACTATCCTCTTTGATTGTGGTATTGAAGTATAAAAGTGTAGGATGGAGAGAACGATATGCATCATATTCTATTCTTCTGGAATAATTCCTTGGCCAATCAAACAATCCCGGAACAGCATAATTCTACTCTAATCCGGCCGTTCCTGAAGAATGACGATCTCCACTACCCCAACTATCCTTCGCCAAGGTTCATCCACTTTTCCCGTATCTATTGTACTCCATACACTCTGGAGCACACTACGACATACTGGGGGCTCAGCCAAGGCAAAACAGTATGGTCAGGAGCTGCCAAGAAAACTATATACCAAGATGCCTAAAATTCGGCTCGGAACTGTAGAATTCGAGTCAGACGTCAGGTCCGATCTATATAAAGGGTCGTCCACGCCGGTGTTCATGCTCATACATTGCCATAATCCACAGTCCTGTTTGACCTGATAACAAAAGCATTCACAATGGGCTTCCAACTCAATACATTCTTTGTATCAGCCTTGGCTGCCACAAGCTATGCCTCTCCTTTGATCCAGGCCCGAGCATCCAATACATCCTATACCAGCTCCAACGGCCTGAAGTTTAACCAGTTCAACGCTTCTCTACCCAATGTCACTCTCTTAGCAACTGGTACATATCACCCCTTGTCATACGAAGAAGTATCCATCCTAACACAAATAAAGGCGGCACCATCGCCGGCACAAGCGACGATAAAACCGCAACAGCAGGCTACGAATCCGGCGCATTATCAATCACCAAGCTCCTAAGCGGAATCCCCGAAATCAACGATATCGCCAACGTCGCCGCAGTCCAAGCCACAAACGTCAACAGCGGCGATGTCTCCTCATCCCTCCTGCTAAACCTCACCCACACCCTCCAAACAACCGTCTGCGACGACCCCACCATGTCCGGCGCAGTAATCACCCACGGCACAGACACACTCGAGGAATCTGCATTCTTCATCGACGCAACAGTAAACTGCGGCAAGCCAATTGTCTTCGTGGGCTCGATGCGGCCTTCCACGGCCATTTCCGCGGACGGACCCATGAACCTCCTGCAGGGTGTGACTGTTGCCGCGGATGAGGATGCCAAGGAGCGTGGTGCGCTTGTTGTGCTGAATGACAGGATTGTTTCTGCGTTCTTTGCTACCAAGACTAATGCCAATACCGTTGATACGTTCAAGGCGTATGAGCAGGGTAGTCTGGGGACCATTGTTTCCAATACGCCCTACTTCTATTATCCTGCTGTGCAGCCGAATGCGAAGCATACTGTTGATGTTGCTGATGTGCACTCTATTCCTCGGGTTGATATTCTCTATGCTTATGAGGATATGCATTCCGATTCGCTATACAGTGCTGTTAAGAATGGTGCGAAGGGTATTGTTGTTGCTGGTGAAGGCGCTGGTGGTATTTCCACAGACTTTGCTGATGCTATCAGTGACGTCGTTGCTAAGCACGGCATTCCTGTTGTTTTGAGTCACCGTACTGTTAACGGTGAGGTTCCCACCGCTGATATCACTGGCGACAGCAGCAAGATTGCTAGTGGCTTGTTTAACCCCCAGCAGTCGCGCATCTTGGTTGGGTTGTTGTTGGCTGAGGGCAAGAAAGTCAAGGAGATCCGGGAGGTGTTTGGGAAGGCTACTGTTGCTTGAATACCTTTTGGGGGGCTTCAAAATAGCAAAACATATACACAGAATTATTAGATGTCTAGAATGGACAAATAAAAATTAGAAGGTTATAATAGATGAATCAATGAGTTTGTATTCTCGGTACCCAAAGCTTATGCAGACATCATTCTTGTAGGGATTATGGTAAAGCACAAGAAGCTAAAGCAAAATGTAATTCAGTCTAGTGGACCAGGTCATGTCATGCGTTGTTCCTAAAGATATATACATTCCGAGGTGCAAAAGGGAGAAGGAAACCAGGACCGAAAGGATGCAAAAAAAGGACATTGGCGTAATGTCTAATGTAATACCAATCCCCTGGGGCAGAGGTAAAAGGAGATAAGTTCAACGTCTAAGGTTTCCCAAATTCGAGTTCTTGTGGCATGAACTAGAGAGTATGTACCGAAGAATTGAATGGGAATATACTGCATTAAGAGCGGAGGACGAGTTGCTCTTCTGGTGGATTCAATCGGGGCGGGTGATTAGGTATGTTCTCTTGCTGTCATGGACTTCGTTCCAAATTTCCATTATCGGGTGGACAGCCGGTGAATGTCGAGGCGGCGGAGAGCCCTGTGGCGCAACTTGGATGCGCTTAGATCTCAATAGCGCTGGAAACACCGTTGGCGTGGGCAACATCAACCTTTTCCTTCTGGGCATGGGATAATTCAATAAGGGTGTTGAGCATCGAGTCCCGAGTTGAAGTTGTCAGTTTATCCACATCGGCCGATGTCAAATTCGTGGTCAGGATAGGAGGTAAGACTATTCGCAAATGATTAATTAGGTTCACTCTTATGAGACCCAAACAACAAACAAACCTTTGATCTTGATAGTTCCAGCATTGAATCGCCACGCACGAGGCGACAGAATATGGGAGTAGTTTTCCGCCACAATGGGGACGATTGGCACACCAGCCTTCACAGCCAAATGGAAAGCACCCTTCTTGAAGGGTAGAAGGGTAGGCTCATCAGAGTAACTCCGGGTACCCTCGGCAAAGATGAAAACACTCTGGCGGTGATTGCGCATTTCATCCGCGGCACCATCAAATGCCTTGAGGGCGGTCTCGCGGTTGGCACGGTCAATGAAGACAGTGCGAGAGAGGGCCATGAACCAGCCCAGGAAGGGAATGTTCCGCAAAGACTTCTTAGCAGTCACGCTGCAGTAGGGTGGGAAGATACAGCCCAGCATCAACACATCCAGCTCGGTCTGGTGGTTACCAAGGAAGACAGCCGGACGGGTGTTCAGGTACTCCTCGCCCTCGATGACCTCAAACTTGACACCGGTGGTGAAGCGCATCAACCACTTGAAGCTGCGCCCTGTGGCCCATTGTGAGATACGACCATATCCAACTAGCCGCAGGCAGATTGAGACGACCACGCCGTACGCTGCAGCTACGAGGAGGGAGCCATAGGATGCGAGACACCGAGCGGCAAAGGCGGCACGGGGTACTTTCTGACCGAGGGCGAAGAGGGAGGCTGTTACTACCACAAAGGAGCTAACGCCTGACACGATGTAGGAGCCGAACGACATGGTGATGGTTTGTTGAGAAGATGCTGGGGAGAGATATGGTCAGAGCGGAGACTATAACCGGGGGGAAGGGAACATACTTCCGGAAAAAGAATTGGCACCCCAGCCCAGGTGTTGAATCCGAGAAAAAGGAGGAACAAAGAAGAAAGAGATACAGCTTCAAATGCACTGAGCCATGACTGTGGGGAAGAGCAAGTCGGCGTTGAATTGTTTTTTTGCCCCGAGGCCGACTTACCGCCTGGTGCAGATGACAGGGTCACGCTGGCCGGAAGTATGCAGCTACAATATATTAAGCTTAAAGCAATATGTCACAGTTAAATCATGAGAACAGCGCATGGAAGGATAATGTATTATGCAAGCACCCATCATCTCATCCGTGCCAGAGAAAATCGTTCAACTAATGTACAGAACACCATCATGCTTGATGCCAGATATCTAAACCTGGAAAAGAAAACTCCACAGTGCTGTGCAAAGAGGCCTTCAAACGCCGAGTTAATAAGAGAGCGTTCCCATGCGGGAACAAAACAGAAAGACCTGGGGCATCACAGGCCTACGCTATGTCCTCATCCTCCATCTCGTCTTCATCCAAGGATTCCATCGCGTCCTTGATGTATTGTGCAGCCTGTAAGGAGTGAGAGTCAGCAAGGAATGCAACAGCCAGAAGGCATTCTGTTTTTGAACGTACTTTTGGATCCAAGTTCAAGGCCGCTGTGAAATGCTTGATAGCATTGGCCTTGTCATGGAGCACTTTGTACAGCTTTCCCAGCAGGTAATGCACATTTGCTTCATCCGGCGCCATATCCTTGAGAATCTTCAATTCTGCCATAGCGAATTTGAATTCGTGCAGCTTCATTAGCACGCGCGCCTTGCGGAACCGGGCCAAAACTGATTGTGGAGCCAACGAGGAGGCTCTACCGTAGTGGACCAGGGCTTCCTGAGGGTTGTTCATTTTTTCCAAAACCAGACCAATGCAGCAAATTAGTACCGCGTTAGTGGGGTTGATGCTAGCTGCGTTGCGGAAGTGCTGCTCAGCAAAATCAAGTTTGCCCATCTTATCGTACACCGTCCCCAGTCCGTACCAAGCGTTGTAGTGTCGATTGTCGGCGTTGATGCCGTTGCGGTAGGCCTCCAATGCCTTATCATATTCCTCGTTGGCGACATACTCATGTCCTTGCAGAGTGAAGGCATATGCGAAGCCAGGGTCAATCATTGTTGCGCGCTTGAAGCACTTCAGTGCTTGATCGTGATCTCGTTGGTGGGAGAAAGAGTTGCCAATGGCACACCATGCCTGAGGTGATAGTCGATCAGCTTCGAGCAATTTATGTGCCAAGTAGGCCAGTTCAACATCGTTTTTCAGATGCCATAAAACAGTTGAGTAGATTTCCATGTCTTCTTGGCGAGAGGGCGCCAACGTTTGAACCCTGTGGAAATATTTCGCAGCTTCTGTATACCCCGCTTGCTCGAAATGGGCCCGTCCAAGCTGAGCAAGAACCCATGAGGTCTCACGCTGACCTTGAGAGAGAGTATTGAAATGGCTGATAGCCTCTCCGGACTTGTAACGACTCAATGCGAAATGTCCACATGCAAGTTTATTGAACAGCCCCAGAAGCCAGTTCAAAGCCTCGAGCTCTTTTGTTTTCTCGGCGTTTTTGGGCAACGGAGGTACTGGAGGATGTGGTGGCATTGGTCCAGTACGATGGTCCTTGCTATCATTGTCGGGTGCTTCCATGGGCTTTCGATTACCACTCACAACGCGGCCGACTGTGGGCGCAGTTCCGATTCGTCCTCTCGATTGTGCCCTTAGTTTCTTCATTTCACGGCCGTCTTTGCCGGTAAGCGTACTGTTTAGTGTACTGTTAGAAAGTTTGCTTGTGGTAGGCTTGATTTGATTGAATAGGCGAACGCTTCGGCGCTGAGGAGCACCTGGTTCAACCGGTTGTGATGGAGGAGGGGGTGGGCAACTTGCCCAGAGACTGTGCGCTTGCGGTCACCAAACCTGGGCGCAGGAAGAGGATCTCTTTCCATTGGGACAGTTGAGTGGGCCTCTGGGTCTGTTCTTGTTTTGTTTCTGGGCCTGATACCTGTTGGGCGCATTCGAGGTGGAGCTTGCCCGATTTGATCTAGGCTCATGGTCTGCGTTGGGCGTGTCTTGCGGGCCGGAGCCATGGGTGCATCCCATGTGGATTCCGGATCGGTGACACCATTCGCGATGCGGAACTCTTCAGAGCCACTGCTCTGTGCCCCTGGGGTCTCCATGCCATCTTGGAATACTTGCTGTGCCACAGTGACGGAGCTGCCATTCAGCTTTTCCCAGAGAGCGGAGCTTCCAAATGTGGCATCGGCCTCGCCACGGGATGCAGGGACCATAAAAGGATCGGATGCGGGGTTAACAGGGGGCTGCATAGGGAGAGCTTCTGCGACGGGGATGTTGTCTGATACTGCGGGTGTTTGATCCGGCGATGAGGATATTATTGCGAGAAGTTCTGGGCTAAGTTGATAGATATTGGGGACTCGAATGTTGACACCTGAAATCATGTGAGAGAGAATTCATCCAAAATCTGAGATCAATACGTACCCGTTTCACAAAGTCCTAGGAACGCGTCCCACATGAATGGGTTCAGCTTAAGTGCCTCCACGTAACAGTCAACTGCTTTGTTCAAATCTTTATGAGCGTGCCAAAGCTTTCCCTGTAAGCAAAACACGGCTGCGGCATCCGGAAGATGTTGTCGCTGTGTTTCGCTGTGCTTGTCTGTAATTTCATTAGCACTTCAGTTCGATCCCAGGCACAAGTTTGCGAACGCTTACTCCAGTGATTCTTGGTGGCCCATAGATGCTTGCTGCGATCTAAAGCTGTAATACCGTCCAAGTATTTCTCCAGATCCAAGCAAGTTTGCGCGAAAACATAAGCGCAGCCAGCATGTAGGCCCAGAGAGCCTGAAGGCTGACTGCAATCAAATGCAGCCTTCACTTCGCCATTGTGTAGGTGACAGAGCGCAAGTAGATATTGCGCCTCGTAGGATCGCGGTTCGAAGGCATGGAGGCGGCCGGCGAGAAATAGCGCGTTGCGAATTAGGTTATTATCGAGTTGGTAGTAGATGAGGTGCCGTAACTGGCTGGCGACATGTCCCGTGGACAAGGCCATGGTGAGGGGTCGGGCAGCACGTTATGCGACAGCGCGCGAGGTTTTGTTCGTGAGAGGATAGGTCGAAATTCAAAGTAATGATGCGATTGCGAAATTTGAGGGTAGCTGGCCCATCAACCTCCGGCGCCTTCCTTGGAGATGTCGTCTGAGACGCGGGGAGGAAACAACGACGCGATCGAGTGAGTTCTGGAGTGAGTTCTGGAAGCGCGAGCGAACGGTCCATCAACGCTAGCAAGACATGGGACAGCGAAAAGTCCAATGTCCGCGAACTGCTCTGAATGCAGGTGTGGTTCACTGGGCTCGGGACGACGGGCGTGGAGTGAGGAATGTCAACCAGAGCCGGAAATGGTTGGAGGACGAACGAGGAGGATAGGAAGCAACGAAGTGAGCTCCCTCTGGTTAAACCAGCTAAATATGCCTCAAAGCAGGGACATGTCAGCTCAGAAGGCAGAGTATTGTGAAGCTCCAGTTCTTCCTTGTTATTTTGGTCTCGAGAGGCCTTTGTCGTTTTTGCCGGGCGGTGACGGCGGTGAGGGTCGTGGAGGGCAACAATCGTCCGATGTACTGCAGCTGTCATGCGAGTCCCCTCCTTTCCAGTCCAGCCTCTTTCTCCGATTTTGAGCCATCTTGAAGCCTCTAGCTTGCTTAGCTCTTAATTAGGGGCGTCAGGGAACTTAGAAGACCTCCATCATTATCAACCTGCGGAGAAAGTGGGGATTGTATTCAATCATGGCCCAGGTATGTACCAAACGACTGTTCCTTGCTGCTGCAGACTCCCTATTAGCCATGTTCTCTGCATAAAAACATTCTAACTCTATCACAGAAAGCTGCCAAAACCCTAGCGACCCGCAATGGTGCTATCCTCAACCGCACTCACCTGATCTCGGCGGCATTGCACCTGCTCTTCCTTGTGCTGCACTTTATGTTCCAGCGGCCTCGCTCCTTAAAGCCATACTTCTTCTTGGCTATTCCAACTCTTGCCATTGAGTATTATCTGGACCGCGTGGGCCGGCCGCGCTACAATGAGGATGGCTCCTTGCGCTCCGCTGGCGAGGATCTCAATGCCACCGGTCTGACGGAGTACATGTGGGATGTACTTTACTGGACACAGGGGTGCATTGTTGCTGCCTGTCTGTTCAATGACCGGGCTTGGTGGTTGTGGGTGGTGATTCCTTTGTACTCCGTCTACGCTGCCTATACCACCATCATGGGTGTGAAGAAGGGATTCGCCGGAATGGGTGGTGGCGGCGAAGAAGCCCAGGGTGATGCTCCCAAGAGTAAGACGCAATTGAAGAAGGAAAAGAGGGGTTCTTCTATGAAGTATAGGTGATTTGGTCGGACCTAAGTGGGCAAAATATGTAACAATAAGCTCGATATATATTGTGCGTTCCAGATTGGGAGTCACTACCATTTTACCCAAAATGGCATATTGGAGTAATTTCTATGACCAAACGCCGATCTCCTACATGATTCTAAGTTTGCCACGGGAAACAGATATATGCTCAATCGTATTGAGAAGATCAAAAAGCCCATTCAATTATTATGTACTAACATATATCACTTCAAACCCCTTCGTATTTGAGCCAGAAAGTGATTACAGAAAACGCAAGACAATAGGAAAGAGCCCGAAATAAAAAAAGAAACTGTGCATGAAGGTCATGAGCATTTAGTCGTCGTGACAAACTATATGGGGAATAATGCGTCGGAAGCCGCGCATAGCATGCCTAAGGCATGAAGTTCAATTTCGGAGCAAGCTGTTCGAGTCCGAAAGAAGGAAATAGAGAAAAGAAAATACATGATGCATGCCGTGATAGGAGTAGAGTGATTTGAACAAAGTTCCTCCTTCACAGTTCGTCCTTGACTGAAGATACAGCACTCCTGACACTGCTCGTCGCATCTTCTACGTGTGACGCAGCGGTCTCAGCTGCTTCGGACGCAACGCTGCTAGCGCTGGCAGCAAGGTCAGCCAGCTGAGACTTGGCGCTTTCAACAGCACCAGCGAGACGGAGGGTGGCACTCTCAACTGCGTTGGGCTCTTCACCGTAGATAGCAGCGCTGGCCTGGGATTGAATGTCCTCAATGGCACCCTTTGCGATATCGATGTAACCAGATTCCTTGCTATAGACAGCGCTGCTTACGTGGGCAGATGCTGTCGAGTAAGCGTCAGTCGCAGCATCTGTGGCCTGTTCAAAGGAGCCTTTGGAAGTTCCGTAGATCCCGACACTGGCAGCGTCAACAGCAGCGTGGAGTTGACCATTGGCATGCTGCATGATATCCTCCACGCTCAGCACATCGGAGATAGCCGCAGCAGCGGCCGAGGATGCAGTCTCATAGGTCTCACTGATGTAGCCAGAAGCAGAGGAGACAGCGGCGGTTGGGTAAGGTGTCTCGTATGCAGCTTGAAGCTTGCTCAACACACTCTCAGTGAATGATGGCTGCTTGCCCACGATCAACTCAGAGATAATTTCGTGCACCGCCTCAAAGTGGGCACGCTGGTCTTTCACCACTTGTTGCAGATACGGTGTTGGTGCGCCATAAATCTGCTCGCTGACCTTGGAAACCAGGTTCTCCCAATTTTCGGATGCTTGGCTGGAAAGAGATTCCAGAGGCCCTGGGGTGGTTCCGTAGATAGCCGAACTAGCTGAGGCGGATGCCAACGAGAGAGAAGAAGAGGCTGCGGAGAGGGCGGCGTTGTATCTTGATGAGGCATCATCAATGATACTCTGCGCTTTACCATCATCAGCCGAAGAGATGACCGAGCTGGCTGAAGCAACAACAGCAACAAGGCTGGCGGAAGCCAAAGAAGAGGCCTGCTCGTATTGAGACCCGGCTTCCTCGACGAGTCCCTTGAAGCTTCCGGGAGCTGGGGTGGGCGTCGGAGAACCGTAAACTGCATCAGATGCCGTTGATACAAAGGCAGAATAGTGATCGTGAGCCAAACCGACTGCCTCGTAGTAGCGGCGCTGCGCATCGAGCACAAAGGGCTGGAAGCCAGAGTCACTGGTTGGCGACGCTGTTTGCCGCACCTGAGCTAGTTGCTCAGATGCCAGACTGAGTCCCTGGTCCAATCGCGACGAGGCGATTGATGATATTTGAGCTAGCGGTCCTGCGGAGGAGGGCGTGGGAGTAGCTCGAACAGCGCGAAGCTTCGACTCTAACTCTTCAGTGGCATACTTGACCGACCCAGAGTAAGCCGCTTCAATAGAGGCAAGGAGCTGGGAATGAGCGGGAGCGCTAGACTGGGCCATCTCGCTAAGAACTTGAGACTTTGCGATTTCATAGAGGATCTTGGCTTGAACCGTAGAATCAGCATATGCTGACCTGGCCTCGCCTATCAAAGATTGAATGACCGGTGTTGGGGTACCATAGATGACCGACGAGGCACTGAAGTTCAGAAACTTGATTAGCGAGTATTCAATTGGGGGTGTAATTTTTAAAGCATAATAGATGGTCTACACTACTTACGCCGCTACAGCCTCAGCGTAATTTTTAGAGGCAGCACTGGAAACCTTCTCTCCCGAACTCAAGGGAGTTCCATAAAGAACCTCAGATGCGGCGGACCATGCATGAGAATACTGGTCACTGGCGAATGACGCAGCCTGATCGCCAACTCCAGGAGTCACGGAAGCACCGTAGATAGCCTCGCTCACAGCCTTGCTTGCCTCGGCGTAAGTGTCGCCAGCTTTGTTCGCCAGGCTATGCAAGGCATCTGAGTCCTCATCATCGAGGATGGGCTCTTGGTAAGAGCCGACATCAGCAGCAGCAACACCAAAGGCTGGTCTCACAGAAGGCTGTTCATCCACAATGGCGTCAGCCAGAACGGACTCAGCATTACCATCAAAACCGTCCTCTTTGGCAACGACAGCGGGTGACGATTCGGCCTCCGGAGCTTCATCGATGTCCTCAGAAGCATCGTCCGGGACTGACGTGGCTTCTTCCTTGTTCACGTCTTCCCTCTGAGCAGCAGAGTCAGATACCGCTTCAGATGTCTCGTCGTGATCCGAATCGACAGATATGTCTTCTAATTCTTCAGGTTCTTCTTGAGACTTGGGTCTCGGAGGCGGGGCTTCGTTTCGAGTGTCAAAGTTGTCACTGACTTCACGAGCGGCGATCTTCCAGAGCCCAACATCCTTAAGTCTGACAAGTTCTTTTGCGGCTTGTTCGGCTACTTGCATGCCGCTGTCCAAGATATCACTTGCCACGGTTCTGGCCTCTGAAACCGACTTGTGGTGTACGCCGACATCCCGGATCTCGTTGCGCCAATCCTCGAGTTGGACTTTCAAAGCATGGTACTTAGCCCAATCCTTGTAGGTGACACCATCCATCCACGCCCAGCGCATGCCGATCTCTTGCAATCCTAGGTCACGGATGCTGTCGAGGACAGCCAGAGTTGAGTCAACGGCGGCACCCACTCGGCGAACAAGTTCCTCATCGAAAGATGTGAACCATTCTCTTAGTGCATGGGCACGATCTCTCACGGAAATGGCGGAAGTTCTGATTTCCCTGACGAGCTGATCTCCGGTCGACTCTTCAACCTCTGGAGCATCCTCATCTGGCATCGATTCCGCCAGGGCATTGATTCGTTTCTTGACCGAAGAAAGCTGCTCAGCTGATACCGATTGAAGTGCAGTAGAAAGGCTCTGACCGTAACTGTTGGCGCTGCTCGCAACGAGGGCAGACACGATTTCCTCAATACGTTCCTCGAGGTCCTCAATACCTTTATCAGCTGCAAGAGCAAACTTGGCCTGCCATCTCTCAAGGTCCGACTCGATCTTGACACGGTCTTGCTGCGCTTGCTCTGTTGCAGAGAGAGTGGGCTGGACAGGAGCTTCGGTCGTAGACGTGGAGGCCACAGTACTCGTGGTGTGAACTGACTCCTCAGTTTGAGTAGTCTTAGAATAGATAGGCTGCAGGGATGAAGTGCTTAAGATGATAGTTAGCGAAAACGCGGACTTCAGAGGTGATGAAAGAACTCAACGTACCTATCAGCTTCCTCAACAACAGCGCGAAGGCGCTTGCCCTCCCTGTAGCTAGCCAAACGCTGGCCGATCTTGACTAATTGTGGCTCTACCTGCTCAGAGTAAAGACCTGTGACGTGAGGCCACAACGAGCTGTTCGCAAAGTAGACTGCGGATGACCAGGTATAGCGCGCGCCGGGCATAACATGGGTGGTTAAAATTCCCTGGCTCGTGGCATAAGTCTTGCCGATGAAAGGTTTTGAGCGGGTGTAAAAAGGCACTAGGTGGTCCCAATAGACAGTCATCGCGGCGGAGTTGGCCTTTTGGTAATACGGAGAGACAACAGTCACACTCTGCTGGACATATGGGTCCACTTTAGCGAGATAGAGCTGATTCGCCTTATCCCGAGCAGATTGCACTCGAGGTGTGATTTGGGCTCGCCATTGCTCAGCACCATAAATCTGGGCTTTTTCAAATGCCGGCGCCCCGTATTTCTCATAACCAGATTTGGCAACTTTCGATGCCGGGGTATAAACCTGTTCGTTCAAGACCTTGACATATGGGCGAGCTTGATCAACATAAGGTGCCGCGTACGTATCATAATAGGGTGTGACATAAGGCTCGACGTGCGATCGAGCGATCAGGTAAGGTTTGCAGACTCGCGGCGACGTTTCTGTAAGTTCTGCGAGGTTGGAAGGGCATTGTAGGAACGGCGTTACAAGTGCATACCAGATGCAAAGTCTAAAAAACCGCAGATATTAGTTGAGTACTTCCCCTAATCGTGATTTGGTACTCACCTCACAACAAGTCCCACTGTCCATCGCAAGAAGCCCTTTCTGCGCGGCCTATTAACCTCCTGTCCATTTGATTTGACCGTTGACTCCGCCACTTGTCCGTTCTCCATCACTACCATCGTGACTATGACTGACCCTTTCGAGTCCACGCGATCTCCTTGAGAGATGTGAGGTCGACCACTGTATTTGCGTGAGGGCTTGCCCTTTCCACACACACACTGAGATCAGGTCGGCTCAACAACGTATTACGCCTGCATTAGAGAGAAGCTCACAGCTCGAATGTGTGGCTTTGGTCGATATTGAAGCTCGAGTCTGAATGAATCAAAGCAAATGAGTATCTGTAGGCGGAATGCTCGCGTCGGTCTTGGCACTAGCCGACTTTCACGGGCCGCGGTCGGATACATACCTAGGCTGGGAAGACTGAGGACCGAGGAAAATAACTGCGTGTTGAATGCAGAATCTAAGGGGAAGATGTTGACTTGGTCTGAGTCTATCAAGTTAAGGCAGTTGAATATGACACAATCAGGAACCGTCTGTCGAATATCAGTGAGGTCATCGGTGGCACTTGTACTGCAGATACACAGATATGCGACCAGTACTGCATGTCCTGGCGTAATTAACCGTATTTTACCTACAACCAGCGCACGTCGGCTGAGTCAGCACAATGGGATAGGGACCAGGCTGAATTGATTGCTTCGCCACTATCAAGCTCCGATCTCCAGGCTCCTAGGTGGGTTGCTGCTATCAAGTCCAGCATAAATACAGTACTGACCACTCATTTCAGCCCAAACGGATTCCCCCTCCTATGTTTACTCCTCTCACACTTCCCGCTTTCCTAGGAACATGGTGAACATCTGATCAACACCGTCGACTCGACGCGAAACCTACTATGGAAGCCTCAGACAGTCAATTCCGCGCTACGGATGCCGGATTCCCCGATCTGATGAATGACCCGGCTTACGATGAAAGGGAAAAGGGATTTGACGATCTGGATACCTGCCGCATTTGCCATGGCGAAGCAACAGACGAGGAGCCGCTTTTCTACCCGTGCAAATGTAGCGGCAGCATAAAGTTCGTTCACCAGATATGTCTGGTTGAGTGGTTATCACATTCGCAGAAGAAACACTGCGAGCTTTGCAAGACGCCGTTCCGCTTTACCAAACTCTATGACCCGAACATGCCCCAGAGCCTCCCCGCTCCTCTATTCGCGAAGCAAGCGTTGATACAATGTTTCCGGAGTGTGGTTACTTGGCTGCGATTTGTTCTTGTCGCCTTCGTCTGGCTGGGATGGCTGCCGTGGTCAATGCGCGCAATCTGGCGGGCCCTCTTCTGGCTTGCTGATGGCCGCTGGTCTGCGAGCGAAAGTGCTCGAAGCCAAACTGCGCAAACTGCTCAAGAGGGTCTTGGGCAGCTGTTTTCAAATGGTAGCGTGGCAAATGCTGCTGTGGTCGACTCGCTCAGCCCGACGGTCTCTAATGCAGCTATCTCGTCTGCAACCGCTGCCCCCACTACGCAATCATCGATTCTCAATTTCGCTGCTGGTGAGCCGCTCATGCTCACTCTCATCAAAAAAGTGATCCCCAACTTGTTCATTCCCGCCTTTACCTCCTCCGTCGGGCAGGGTAACACACCAAACAACTCAACGGCCGGCTCAAGCAAGCCCCGCTACCCATCATGGCTGTCGGACGTAAAATTCCTGAACAACTTGACACCCTATCCTACGATTAATAACATGATCATCGACACATTAGAAGGCCAGCTTATCACCCTGCTTGTGGTCGTTGCCTTCATTCTACTCTTCCTGATCCGTGAATGGGTTGTTCAACAACAACCTATGGCCAATATTGCTGAAGGGGAGCGCGAGGCTGCCCTACAACTGATTGCAAACAATAGGCCGAATGAGGAAGCCGAGATGAGACAGCAAGAGCCAGCTCCCGCTCACCAAGAAGACGATAACGCTGCAGATTTCGGGCCTCATGGCTTGGATGAAGAAGAATTGCCTCGTTTCGCACCTCATTCTCCAGCTCCCTCCTGGAGTGATTCTGATACCGGTCACCCTGATTTCGAGGCATTTGATAGGGAGTTACAGCCAATCGAGTTTGACAACTCAGAGGATGAACGTGAAGATTTTGCCCCCGGTCGTCGCGCCGAGGCTTTCCAAGATATATTGGCTCGTGCTGGTGGGAACCATGAAGAAATGCTACGCATTATCCGCGACGAAGCTCGAGGACATGATTTGGACTGGATTGCAAACGCAATGACCGCAGTCAATCCCAACCAGCAGCCAGCACAAGGAGCCGGGCCTTCTAATCGTCCCGACGACACCAACGGAGCAGAAGTTCCAGAGCTCCCAGAATTCGTCAACAGCGGGAATGCGCATGTCGACGGTCATCAACCCGACACCACTACCGACCAGAACCCGGATAATGCACCGCCAAGTACAGGCGATACTGCTCCTGCTTTTAACAGGCAAGCGGATAATCAACCCGCACAGGGACTCACTGAGCGGCTCATTGATTGGTTTTGGGGAGACATTACACCTGCAGATCACGACAGGGAAGAGCCAGTTCCTGAAGACGATGAGCACATTGTTCAGGATCCGGCTTTGGAAGATCCATTCGTGCCCTTACCGAACCGGATGGAAGGCGCACTAGCAGCTGCTGGCGCAGCTGGGGATTTGGACGCTGGATTGGATCCTAATGATATGGAAGCAATTGAAGGGGATGATTTTGAAGGAATTATGGACCTTATTGGCATGCAGGGCCCTATCTTTGGACTTTTTCAAAATGGCGTCTTCTGTGCCCTTCTCATTGCCTTCACAGTCGCCATCGGTATCTGGCTTCCTTACTTATGGGGGAAAATCGCCCTCGTCTTGTTGGCCAACCCCCTTGAACTCATCGTGGGTGTTCCTATCACTGCTGTTGAACTCGTCGCAGATATCGCTCTCGATACCCTTATCGGTGTCGTAGGATATGTCATGTACTGGCTCAGCTTTGCTTTTAGGGTCTTGCTGAGTCCTCTGAGCACTATCATTCCCATTGGGGAATGGATGCCTCGGGACAAATCAGTCACCACTGCATCGCTTTCCCTCATCGATGCAAGCAGCCAGCGTCTGAACAAGGTGCTCAAAGCGTTTTTGGTCTTCCACGAGTCTGATATTCCCATGTTCTCGGTGCTTTCCCATCAGGCGCTTAAACTACACCAAGCTCGCCTCGTCACATTATTCCAAACCATCTTTGCCACCGTGAAGTTCATTTTTCATGACTTCCCACTCCGCGTTGTGACTTTCGGGATCCCGGGTGCATTGTTCTTCGATGTCGATCTTTCTTATTTCAATGGATTCCTTCAACAGGCACAGCAGCAGTTCAGCAATCTCATCAGATCCCCTCTGTTCTCCATGCCAGGGAAAAGGCTGATGAATGCAAGTGCGGCAAAAGCAGCCTCTGCGACAGTGCCGGTCGATTATGACTTGGCCGTCTGGGACTCCAAGGATCGTGTCATTGCTATCTTGATGGGATACCTGCTTGCGTCCTTGATCGGGCTTCTCTATCTCCGTATTACCGGGCTGATGGCTGGTGCCAATCGCGGACAACGGATTGAGGGTCTGCTTGCCGAGGTGCTGATCCAAGCTGGGGGAGTCATGAAAGTGATTCTCATCATTGGCATTGAGATGATTGTTTTCCCCTTGTATTGTGGTAGTCTCCTTGATCTTGCTCTGCTCCCCCTCTTCTCCAATGCTACCGTGAGCTCTCGGATTGCTTTCACGGCTACGTCTCCGCTCACATCCCTCTTCGTCCACTGGTTTGTTGGCACTTGCTACATGTTCCATTTCGCCCTGTTTGTGTCTATGTGCCGAAAGATTCTGAGAAGCGGTGTCCTTTGTAAGTTTGGGACTCCCAATTTGCCGGCGTTCTGGATTGGAATGCTAACACTTGACTATAGACTTCATCCGTGACCCCGATGATCCGACCTTCCACCCAATCCGCGATGTTCTTGAGCGCAGTATCGCTACTCAGCTTCGTAAGATTGGATTTAGTGCCCTTGTCTATGGTGCCTTGGTCATCGTTTGCCTTGGCGGCGTTGTCTGGGGACTGCACTTTGCACTTGACGGTGTGCTCCCGATCCATTGGTCGGCTAGTGCTCCTATGCTCGAATTCCCAGTCGACCTGTTATTCTACAACTTCGTGTTACCAATGGCGATTCAATCATTCAAGCCCTCAGACGGTTTACATGATTTGTATGACTGGTGGTTCCACAAGTGTGCCCACTTCCTGCGTCTCAGCAACTTTTTCTTCCCTGAGCGACACCTAGAGGAAGAGGGCTATCATGTTCGGCAGACTTGGTGGGGCCTTCTCTCCGGAAGCAAGGGGGACTGGGAACACCCTGTTATCGGCGATGAGCAACAGGCTGCTGCAGAACGGGAAAACCGTGACGTCTACTTCCTGCGCGATGGTCGATATGTGCGTGCCCCTGCTTCCGATCAGGTCCGCATCCCGAAAGGCACCCGCGTTTTCCTGGAAGTCACCGAGGATAATGAGCGCGTTGATAGGAATGTTGATCCTGCTGATGGGCTACATGGTCGATCCAGCACCATGTTCACCAAAGTCTACATCCCTCCTTCTTTCCGAACTCGGATCGCTGCCTTCATCGTGCTCATCTGGCTGTTTGCCGCCACCACTGGAGTAGGCATCACCATTATCCCGTTGATCATTGGTCGGAAGATTATCACGTCGTACTCTTCCAGTTCAGTTCCGGTGAACGATGTTTACGCTTTTTCCAGTGGTCTCTGCGTGGTCGGTGCGTTTGCCTACCTAGCCTATCACACCCGCACTGCATTCCAGTTTGTGCGAGACCATACGACAGCATACCTCCGTTCTCCTCGCCAAGCAGGCCAGAACAGCTTGGGCCTCGTGATGCATGTTGTTCAACTTCTTTACCTCGCTACAGTTGCTGTTGTCTTGCTCCCGTCGCTCTTTGCCCTTCTGACTGAATTGTACATCCTCATCCCAGCACACACCCTTTTCGGTGATGGACAGTCGCATGTTGTTCACGTCGTTCAAGACTGGGCACTTGGAGTGCTGTACGTCCAGATGGCCATCAAATTGACTGTATGGCAGCC